CAACATCCAATCTACAACTTTATGTAATTACGTTTAATAAAAAAGTGTATTTATGAAGTTCGAATCTGATTTCAAAGGCAGGAGTCATCACAATTGAATCTCCATTCGATAATGAGGACGCTCACATTTTTTACTGACTTTATACATAGTCAGCGCACGTTTGTCTATTGTTCTACGTTTAACAGTAGTTGTATATTTGCATAAGTAATAATGTGTCAAAAGGAGATTAATAGACAAACGTGCATATGCCAGATGTACTCGTATTTGTACCATACAGAATGGAGAGGGAGATTGGAAAGAGTGATCACGTGTTTTTTTTTCAAACATGTCATCGTTATTTATGTAGTCTAATTTTAGACCCATTCTTACAATGCTAGATCCACCTTTCATGCATATCTAACGTTCAATTAAGGACAGGTAAGTGTAAATTTACTATATTTGGAAAGCAGTAAGGACAAAAAACATTGAATCACTTTGTATTACAGTCTAAAATCATTCTAAGATTTAAATTTGGTTCCAAATTGACAGGATTCTTTCATAAACATACAAAAGTGAAATAAGGTATAGATATAAAAGCAACATAAGCAACCGAAAAAGACCCAAAAACAGGGGTTAAGTGCAGTCATCCTTTCTTTAAAATTCTTTCAAAATGCTACTCCTCAAACAGTTTTAGTCTAAATTTATTAAGTCGTGGTGTTCAAAGAGAGTATACTAAAATACGTAACACATCTCTCGAGAATTTTTCACTCATATGGAGACGCCACCACTTGCCGATGGAGGGCCACACAGGGGTGTGCAATTAAAAAAATTAAGTACTAGCCCACGGGCTAGTGGCAGCAATAAAGTTTCAGCCCCAAGTAAAAAGTTACTAGCCCAAATGTACATGTAAGGGGCTCGGGTTAACAGAAAATAGTTTATTGTTGAAAAATTCAGGGTTTTAATGTCATTCTTTTTAAAATTAAAGTTTAATTCTCACTAGTAAAATTAAATCATGTATAAATTAATAATTATGATAGAAAATAAAGACAAATTCAAATAAATTAAATTATCTTATCTACAATCAAATGAAAATCATTTTTTTCATCTTAAATCATTAAATACGCTGGAAATATATTTTATGTAAACCACGTAACACTTATCTTTCAGTTGACTGAGTGATCGTAAATAATTTAATGAGATATCTGCATGTGTATTTACCATAAGCAGAGGAATAGAGGAAATTCGGATGAGATAAAAACGATCGTTTTTGGAAGTAAATAAGTCAGGTAGCACTGCAAAATGGATAAGATTATGGAGATTGAAGAACAGTAGGAACATGCTGCCGATTTTTTTTTTTTTCATTTTTTGAGAATTTTAATAGCAAATAATGAGTGAAAATACCGATAGAAATTTTCATGTATTACATTGGAAGTTTTAATTTTTACTAGCCCAAGGGGCTACCTCTGTGCAGTAAACTACTAGCCCGACCCAAAAAAATGGTAGCCCCGGGCGTCGGGTGATGCTAATTGCACACCCCTGCCACAAATTTTGACCTATACTCGGCACTCAGGGCCATTTAGCAGTGAGGGATTTTTTTCGTGCCAGCACTTAATGCGACACGGGACCTCGGTTTATACGGTCTCATCCGGAGGACCGGTCTCCACGTCCCGCAGTGGGATTCGAACCCGCGACGTACATAATACGTACGTACATAAAAAATAATTCAAAACGTGAAAACTTTCAAAGATTAAGTCTTTAATTTGCTAAAACCCAGGTTTCGGGAACTCTCCCCTCCCCCAAGAATCCCTATCAGGACACCACCCTGGGACTCTTGGGTGGCCATGGCCCCCAGATCCATTGCCTCACTAAAAATTTGAGCCTAGTTACGGCCTTGCAGATGCATTTAATACAATGTATGACCTTTTTGAAGCACAGGCACTTGGGGTATGACCTCCCCCCCCCCTTTCCGATTTTTTTTAGGTCACCTGAGCCACTCAGGTGACCTACTGCTATCCGTTTTTGTCTGTCGTCGTGCGTTGTGCGATGTGCGTTAACATCTGAACATTTTTAGCTTCTCTGAAACCGCTTAACCAATTTCAACCAAATTTGGATTGTAGCCTCTATGGGTGAAGGGGAACACAAATTGTCAATTTCATGCCCCCCCCCCCCCGGGGCCTGAGGGGTGGGGCTAAAACCACCAAAATTAATGCAATCTTTAAAAATCTTCTTCTTTACTCCTGGACATCAAGCAGTCAAACTGTTGGCATGATTGTAATAAGCATTGAGCCCTCTACCAAAATTGTGAAAATCATGGCCCATGGGGCAGGGGTTCTGGTGGTAGGGCGGAGTTATATAGATCATATAGTGAAAGTGCATTATTTCTTTGAAAATCTTCTCTGCTCCTGGGTTGTAAATGTCACAGGTGGTGAGAAATAAAGTCTCAACCGGGACTCAAACCCAGGGCCTCTGGCGTACCGTGCCAGCGCTCTAACCACTGAGCTACTGAGACCCGATATATTGACTGACTTTCACGCACCTTTGAACCCGATGACATAAATTGTCACAGCCTTTTAAATGTGGTAAAATACAACACAACACGGCTGCTGGGTTGGATGTTTAGCTATAATATATATTCTACGATTATGGAATTTTATAACAAAGACGGAAGGGTGACCTGAAATATAACAACAGGTATTATTTATCTCTCGCCTCACTCACACTTTTACGCAGATCATAATTTAAATTTTATAAATTTGGATAATTTAGAAAATACTCAATTTAAATAAAATGATCAAATAGATAAATTGAATAATAATTGAATCCTCAGAAATAATTTACCAGTTATTTCTTACCGTAAATCCTGGACAAAGTTCACAGTTACCGTGAGAAAGAGCGTCTTCTCTCCCCAAAGACTAAGGTTGGAGTGCTCCAGAATAAGTATTGTCGCGAATGCGCAGGGGACAGAGTAAAACCAGTTTGACCACTCTCACTGACCACTCAATAAATAAATGAATAAGGCAATGAATGAACATACATGTAGTAAATTCCGTAGTGAGAACGGAATTCACTAGTTACTATAATAATATAATGCCTTAGACAAATGTATGAATATGATATGAATGATAATTAGTAATATTAATTAATAAATTATAATTCACCCTGTGACATAAATAAATAAACTAAGAACAACGTTATGATGACGAAGAGTGCTTCTTCCAAAATTGTGAATTTCATGGCCCCTGGGACAGGGGTTCTGGTGTTAGGGCGGGGCTATATTGATTATATAGTGAAAATGTATTTATTCTTTGAAAATCTTCTTCTCTGCTCCTGGGTATTAAATAAACTAACAAAGTACATACATGTAATTACGATGAGGAAGAGTGCCTTTTACAAAATTATGAATTTCATGGCCCCAGGGTCAGGGGTTCTGGTACTAGGGCAGGGCTATATAGATCATATAGTGAAAATGCATTTATTCTTTGAAAATCTTCTTCTCTGTTCCTGGGTAGTAAATAAACTAAGAAAGTACATAGTTATGACGAGGAAGAGTGCCTCTTCAAAACTTATGAATTTCATGGCCCCAGGGTCAGGGGTTCTGGTGCTAGGGCGGGGCTATATAGATCATATAGTGAAAGTGCATTAATTCTTTTAAAATCTTCTTCTCCGCTCCGAGGTAGTAAATAAGCTAAGTACATAGTTATGATGAGGAAGAGTGTCTCTTCCAAAATTGTGAATTTCATGGCCCCAGGGTCAGGGGTTCTGATGGTAAGGCGGGCCGCTATTGATTTTATGGGGAAAATACATTAATTCTTTGAAAATCTTCTTCACTGTTTCTGGGTATTAAACAAACTAACTAAGTTTAAAGTTATTATGAGAAAGAATGCCTCATCCAAAATTTTGAATTTCATGGCCCCTGGGTCAGGAGTTCTGGTGAAGGGGGAGGGGCTCTATTGATTATATTGTGAAAATGCATAATTTCTTTCAAAATATTTTTACTACTGGTTATAAAGCAAAGAAACGGGTGTATGGTTATGATGAGCAAGGGTGCTTCTTCCAGAATTGTGAGTTCATGGCCCCTGGATCAGATGCTCTGGTGTAGGGATGGGGCTCTATTTATTTAATTACATAGTGAAATTGCATTTCTTTGAAAACCTTCTGTGCTTCTCGGCATATTGGAGGCAAACAGAGTAAAAGTTTCAATATGCAAGGGTATTTTTACCAGAATTTTAAACACCTGTACCATTTAGTCAAGTGTTCTGGTCTTAACCAGGGCTCTATTAATTTGAATTCTGCTGAGCAAAGTTATTCCCCTTTGCCATTCACCTTTGGTAATAAATCACTGTGAATAATGTATTGGAAAGGTTAATAGAAAAAGAAAATTATGCAAGAGTATTTATTGTATAATACAACAAGTATTTTCATAGTTTTAATAATAAGGTAGACTTGGAAATAAGAGAAGAATAAAAATGAGACAAAAATAACATCTTTTTAAATGTTCTTCAAAGGCCAAGAGAGGTCAATGTGAGAAGTAATAATATGGGGTTAAAAAATAGACATTTTGTTACTAGTCTGCATGGTAATAGTGATAAATGAGAGACAGATAGATACTAGACCAATTATTTAGTTGATCCTTATCATACTGTTTTTCTTGCTTTTGGGCAACAAAACTTCATTTATCAGTTTATGGATCCTTTAAATTGTTGTATTGTACTCAGGTGACCGTTAAGGCCCTTGGGCCACTTGTTTCTTTTTAAATCTTGGATCAAGTTACCTTTTTCCTATTTTTGTATTCTAATATGCACTATATGTTATCGATAATGTAACCCTTTTGTCTCTATAAGCTGTTTGTATCTGCAGTCGAAAATGATATATTTAAAAACAGCTTATACAGACAAAAGAGTTACATTATCGATAACATATAGTGCATATAAGAATACAGAAATAGGAAAAAGGTGACTTGATCCCAGATTTAGAAAGAAAAAAATGGAAAATGGAGGGGGATCCATACCCCAAGTGCCTGTGTTTTGAAGTGCAACTGTGTGTTTTCATAAAAACTTTTTTCGACGTTTTCCTACAATATCTTTTATCCAAATAAATCATGGGAACCAAATACAGTGACTGTCTTACTCTATATTGAATAGACACATTCAAATTTGTGACGAAGAAAAAAGTTTAAATTACTCTGCGTAACGGAAGGACGGACACCCCCATCACTATACACCACCTCTTTTCAAGCGGGGAGTATAAAAACGTATTATTTCAGTCCATGCACTTTCCACCACAGCGACAAATAGATCGGCCGCTCCTGCGATAATGATACTAGTATCATATTAAGCGTTAGAACTGTATAAATAATGATACACATACGAATAAATATATCAATGTAGTCCGTTATTAGTATATTCCGAGTCTATTACATCATATACCAGTTTTCCTGTGCTTACTATCTCCTGCACCAGCATCAAAGAATGCTCGTAGTCCTGTTTACACATTGTCTCCATCAAAGTTTTTCGCGAGGGAAGCGTGTACATTGCAATACCCGCCAATTTTTGCACGAACCAAGTGTCGTGTTTTGCCATTGTTTGACTGTATACATCTGCTGCCATTTCTGATGTTTTTTCTCCGTCAGAACTTTTTGAAAGTCTATCCATGAATTCAAGAATGAGTTCCAGTGCTCTATGGAGACGCAGCAGCGCTGTTATTCCAGGCTTTTGGGCCAAATTCACTTCATGAAGCACCATGGCGCTCACTGTACTGTAAGGGTGGCCATAATTCTGAATAAGACTGTTAATTATACTTATTTTACCCTCCAAATCCTTAGCCACGAAAAAGAATAAAGTTCCACAAAGTCTGAAAAATCTGAAACACAATTAATTTTTATTTTAAAAACCTGTTTTTCATATCATCATTATTTTATAATTTTAACTAAACACTGTAGTCATAAATAATCAAAATGAACCCATCATTATTTTATAATTTTAACTAAACGCTTTAGCCATAAATAATCAAAATGAATCACAGATACATGTAGAAAACATTTCTGAAAATATTTAGCACTAATAATCGAAGATATTTTTTTTTTGTGAAAAAGTCATGCAGGTAGTCGTTTACATTGGTTGACAGATTTTGAAATGCATCAGTGCGCGCATTACACTGAAATTTATGTTATCATCGCGAAACAATGGAAAAGAATTAATTGATCTCTTATCCCCCAGATTCCCCCAAAATTATCTAAAGCATTTTCTTTTCAAGTCCTTTACTTGAAAGCTATGTTTACGATGAAAAGGACTACGCTTCAAGAACGTACGTTCTAGATTCAACATGAAAGTCCAGCGAAATTACAATTATTTCCAAAATTATGGGTCTTTTTTCTTAAATCTATAGCCTTAATCATTTTACCAGACATCGATATTCGCTGAGATTAATATCTGAGGGCAAATCGAATGAAAAGTACGTAAAGGTACAATTTTCATTAAAATTAAAGTTTCAATGATAATGAAACTTCTAACATGAAACAGAAAACACGACAGGACATCAATTAAAGCGCTATGCTATTTGTTTGATTTAAATTTTCTTTAATAATCTGTGAACTTCTTAATTAACAATTTTTAAGCGTGTGTGTGATCGAGTATGAAAACTTGTGTACACATGGAAACATACTACGGTAATTATACCCCATTAAACTTACCTGGCCAGCTCCCTATACGCATCAAGGTAACATTTAAGATCAACATCACGATTCTCCTTAAAGCTTTCTTTGAAATTCTCATAAACAACTTCCAAGTCGAAATCTTTCTTGGTAACTTTATCGAACTCCGCCATCCTTGTCCCTAAGTGTACAACTCATTTCGAATTTAACCTTCCCGTCGCACTCAGGATGTGAGTTATCCTTAAATGATATCACACGGAAGATATGATTATACATTCTTATGATTTACAAACACACACTTAATCAAATTCAACATGTATCATTGTAAATAAATAGTGTTCGATAGTTTAGTAGTAGTGCTAACCGTTTTTGTTTTTCTATTTCCTTTGTTTTTATGACTTCTTAACTTTTTCTTGTCCTGAGGAAGGGACAGGGCGTCCCGAAAATTTGACAATTTCTATTGTTCGTGTCGTTGGTCATTTTTAGTGCTTTATATAAATTTCCATCCTTGACCTTGTATCTATTTAGTAGATCCGACACTTAGGATATACAGTGTTGTTGGTTTTTGTAGTGCTATCTATCTATCTATCTATCTATCTATCTATCTATCTATCTATCTATCTATCTATCTATCTATCTATATATATATATATATATATATATATATATATATATATATATATATATATATATATATATATATATATATATATATATATATATATATATATATATATATAACATCATCATCATCTTATTAATTATATATCCCAGTTTGATTATAAATCAGCTGTTTGCTGGCTCCGATCACTATGTACTACGCCATAAAGAAAAGATGGAAGATAATGAACAGCGACAGAACTCAAAAAATCTTAGTGCTTTATATAAATTTCCATCCTTGACCTTGTATCTATTTAGTAGATCCGACACTTAGGATATACAGTGTTGTTGGTTTTTGTAGTGCTATCTATCTATCTATCTATCTATCTATCTATCTATCTATCTATCTATCTATCTATATATATATATATATATATATATATATATATATATATATATATAACATCATCATCATCTCATTAATTATATATCCCAGTTTGATTATAAATCAGCTGTTTGCTGGCTCCGATCACTATGTACTACGCCATAAAGAAAAGATGGAAGATAATGAACAGCGACAGAACTCAAAAATCTACAAACAATACAAATCTGTGAACAGGGCATAAACATGGCAACCCAGAAATACCAGAGGTTGGATCAGGTGCCTAGGAGGAGTAAGCATTCCCTGTTGACCGGTCACTTCCGTCGTGAGCCCTATGTATTGATCAGGTAGACGGAACATTCCGTAGTCAAAATGCAGTGTTTAAATAAGGAGTTACAATTGGTATGAAACACGTCAGCCAAGATACGACACAATGATAATATTTGTTAACAAGGTCATTATAACGACCTTATACGAAATGCTGACTTTAAACGAGGTTGTTGAAATCCATGTACCATCAATTTATCTGTCAGTAGTCTGCTTCGATTTAAAAGTTGATCGTACTCGGAGCATGCTCTTGAGTATCGTACAAGTTGGGAGACATAAACATCATATGTAGGTGATATCGCAATTTTACATATCGTATACTAGTATTTGGAAAGTTGACGATGGAAAAGCTGAAGTCGTGTCGTTTGTCATATTTTATTTTTAGTTGGTCCTTATTGTCTATAGTCAGTAAAATATCCAAATATGAAACAGATGAGGCAGACTCTACGGTGTCCTTTATTTCAAGTTTACTGGGACATATCGAGTCGACATACGGATGGAAGTAAGTAACTATTGTTAATTGATAAATCGTCGTCGATATATCTGAGTTGAAGGCCATAGCAAGTGTTTTCTTCTTCTCATGTAGACGTTTTTGAATAACTTTTGCTTCATAGGAATATAAAAACATGTCAGCTAATAAAGGAGCACAATAAGTGTCCATCGAATTTCCAACAGTGTGTTGGAAGACTTGGTCTCCGAAGACTACAAACATGTCAACAAGGAACGCCAGCATCCTTTTAATATCAACTTCAGAGTACTTTTGTGTAGAATCAGAGTGGCTTAACAAAATAATTTTATTGATGACCAATCACAAGATACGAAAATTTCCGAGTTCCATTTTTATTGAAGAAGCACTTATCTATGATATCAAAAGCTTAGTTTTTAATTAATCTTGAGGAATTGTACAAAGTGTGGAAAAATCGTACGTTTTGATGTTACTGACTTTAGAAAAATTTGGTGATTTTAAATTTTCTAAAAGTTCTTTGGAATTTTTTAGAATTCACATCTGATTTACACCAATTCTAGAATATGCTGCAACACAGTACATGTACGTCTGAAGTTTCTCCTTTACAGCAGTTAATATTTTTGTATGGAGTAAAGATAGGCATTGGAAGAGAATTTGCTGGACCCAGCAATGTCTCTTTCTACAATGATTTTTATGAAGTTTAGTAATCCAGTATAGGTAGTAAGGTAGATAAAACTCATTTTCTTTGACTGGAATGTTTCAAGATTTGAACACTGAAAGGTGATTTTGAAGAATTTCACCCTTAGAAAGTTAACTGTGAGTTTTTGTTGAATTTCCAGACGTAGAATTAAAACCAAGTTCTTATAAAATACAGTTATAATAATGAGCCTTACAAACAAAAACGATATTGTTACAAGCCTTGTTAGCTGGAACCATAACATATTGTTCATGTAGTCTTTCTAATTCTTTTATCACCTAAATTTGTGGCGTAGTACGTAGTATTTGGAGCCAAAAATATATTAATTTAATCAGATTATATCACATTCCATATCAACCCGAGACTCTAATATCAGTTCCTAGAGCTGATATTGGTGTATCGGGCTGTATCGGGGTGTGATATGGAAAAGGGTATAAGTATTATTCTCTGTTTAATAGTTTTATTTTATATATATAAGAAAACTAAAAGAAGGCACATTACGTATACGTCATTTTGCATAAAAGAAATCTGAATTTAAATGACCGTGCCATTCGTTTTGAGTATCATTTTAGAAAGAAAAAAGAATCACTACAATTAGAATACAATATATGTCTTTAAGAAAAAAGGCTAAATATAACATTCAACATACAATGAAGTGCATTGAAGTGTTAAAATTTTTAATTTGAGGGAAAGTCTGGGTGTTTCTTATCGAACGTCAATTGCTACATAATGACACGCCCATTTCTTAAGAAACAAGAAAGAAATATTCGTCGTAATGCTGTAGGGAACCTCATTCTCTGTGACTAGCAAAATCAGTTACACTGAAATGGAGACTTTATAAAGTTATAGAAGAGAGAGTTAGAGACCCCGCTTCTGTAAAACACATATTGCAACGATTATGTACATAATTATGAATTTTATTAATATCGTGTTGACTAAAGTTACACATCTATCGGTCGAACACGCTTTTATTTCGGTGTTAATGTAGACTGTCAATTTGATTGGCTATTATATTTATGGAACACTCCGCCTCTGTAAAACACATATTGCAACGAATATGTACATAATTATGAATTTTATTAATATCATGTTTACTAACGTTACACATCCATCGGTCGAACACGCTTTTATTTCGGTGTAGACTGTCAGTTTGATTGGCTATTATATTTATGGAACACCTGTTCTACAGGTATTCGAATGAACCATTTGACCGTTGTTTTTCCTTTCCAAAGAAATAGGCGTATCATTATATGACAATCAACGTTCTAAAGAAAGCTCGAAACGTTCCATTCAAACGGAGAATTTTACCACTTCAATGCGCTTCATTGTATATTAATTTAAAGAAAAACAGCTGAATACAGCACACAAGCTTCCTCCGGAATGTTTACTACATAGTAATTACTACACATAGTCAACTTTCCTCATATAATTAAGTTGTAATTTACCATTATCACCTGCATATGGCGTGTATGTCTCCCAGTTGATTCGATACGCGAGAGCATGTTCTACGCACGAATAATTTCTAAAACGAAGCAGGCTATCGCCAAATAAGTTGATGATACAAGGATATGAACAATATCGTTTAAAGTAAACATTTTACAAAGTCCATGGTCAATACAAATTAATGACCTTGTTTAAAAATAAAATCTGTCGCTATGTCAAGTGTTGACTGACGTCTTTCATACAAATTGTTAGGTCAATACATGTATTTCCACATTGAGTTTTCTACGGATTTTTCAATTAGGAGCACAAGGCGGGTGTGACCCGTCGACAGGGGATGTTTACTCCTCCATGGCACGTGATCCCGCTTCTATTTTCAGAGGTCCGAGTTGGCTCTGCTTATAACTTGTATTGTTTAAATGGATTTTTGAGAATGATCACTGTTCGTTATCTTCGATTATCATTCAAATTCAAATGGCAATTTTGATAGAAAATTTTAAGTTCGTTTTCTTTGTGAATTTTTATCCTCAGGGTATATGAATATATTCTATGAAAGATGTTCCTCTGTCAAATAAGGATATGTCTTAATTCAAACGAAGAAATTAGAAATCTTAGTGCACTGGATGGGACTGGATTACTTTTTTCGGGTTTTAAGTTAATTGTCATGTTCTAAATTTTGAATTTACCGGGAGGGAGTAAATACAAAATTTAGAACCTCTAAATTTTGTATTTACTCCCACTCGGTAAATTCAAATTTTAGAACATGACATAATATTGTTTCACCAGTAACAACCACGTACAATGAGGTTGAATGACGTCAATAGGTTTGCTAAGAACTGTCGGTTTGGGAATATTGTGGCCGGAACAAAAAAAAAAAAAAAACCAAGAAAAAATGTGTTGTCTTTTTCTATTATAAATAACATTAACAAAAAGGACTCTCAATTGATGGCTCGAAAAATTAAACATATTCAACATAGATGCAATGTGTTAGTGTAAGTATTCAACCAAAGGTATTAGTAATGAAAAATAATTATCATCCTGTATAACCACGTAATCAACATTTGAACTTGTCTCCTTTTTACCTAACCTGAGCTGAAGGCTCGAGTGAGCTTTTCTGGTCAAAGTCCGTTGACTGTCGTCGTTAACTTTTCACATATTGACTTCTTTTCCAGATCCACTAGACCAATTTTAACCTCACTTGCCACAAAGCATCCTTTGGTAAAGGGAATTTAAGTTTCTTCAAATGAAGGACCATGCCCTCTTTCAAGGGAAGATAATTAGGAATTAGTACAAATTTAATTGCCATCTTTCAAAAAATCTTCTTCTTAGAAACCACTACGTCAGAAAAATTAGAACATATCTACATTACATAGTGTAGATTCAAGTCTTACTTCCGAAGGTAGGGTGGTGCCATTACAGGGAATCATAGTTATACACTGGAATATATAGGAAGCATCTTTAAAAATCTTCTTCTAAAGAACACCAAAGCCATGATAAATTATATTTATTAGCATATAGAAGCATCCTCGAGTAGTGTAGATTCAAGTTTGTTCAAATCATGACCCACGGGGGTAGGGTGGGGCCACAATAGGGGATCAAAGTTATACATAGGAATGAATAAGAAATATCTTTAAAAATCTTCTCAAGAACAGCAAAGCCATGATTAGTCATATCAATACAGAAGCATCCTCGGGTAGTGTAGATTCAGTATTTTTTTCTCTTCAAATTATGACCTCTTTGGGTAGGACGGGGCCACAATAGAAGTTAAAACTTTTACATAGAAATATATGAGAAAAATCTTTAAAAATCTTCTAAAGCTATGTTTAGTGAAAGAAATATGGAAGCATCCTCTGTTAGTGTAGATTCAAGTTTGTTCAAACCATAACCCCTTGGGGTCCACTTGTATATGTGTAAACTTTTTATTTATGAACTGATTTCTGCTTTTCTCTAGCCAAAGTGCTCTGGTGAGCAATGTGGCCCATGGGCCTCTTTTTTCACTTGCAATGTTAATTTGCTCTATTTCATAGGCACTCCCCAGCTTAACTGGTAAATAAAAATATATTTCTAATATACTACACATATACATGCGTATAGTATAGAAGATATATTTTTATTTACCAATTATCGATAAGGTGAGGAGTGCCTATGTTCGATCCTAATGGACATGGAATGGATTCCTTAAAATGAGTATTACTGTTCACTTCAGAGTACAGGATGACGTATTCTTCAAGGTAAATCAAGCAATTCATGTTCCGAAAAAATATTCTGTGTTCTGTCATACACTGGTTCTCCTACGTTAACGACTGACTCTAAGAGTTCTGACGCATGTGTGTAATCATGTTTGCACATTGTCTCAAAAAGCTGTCGTCTGCTGGGTAACATGTACATGGCAACTCCCGCCATTTTCTGCACAATCCACGGATGATATTTGGAAAGAGTGTCTTTGTAAGTTTCTGCTGCTATCAACGATGATCTGTCGTCATCTGAACTTTGACCTAAACGTTTCATAAACTCGAGAATAAATTCTAATCCTCTGTGAAGACGAAGCAACGACCTTGAGCCTGAAGGAAGTTTGTGCTTGACCTTCGTAATTTTGTTTGTGACCTCAAACTCGATCATTGATTGGATGGTATTGTAATGTTGACCATTAGGACTATTCATGTGACTCTCCAGAACGTGTATTTTCTCTTCCAGGTCCTTTGCTACAAATCCAAACAATCTACCACTTAATCGGAAGAATCTGAAAACAATGTATTGTGGAGATAGTGAACGTTTTATATAACGTGGACCATTAATGAAACATTAATGAAAAAAATAAAACAATTATGATATATGCATGGACATATACCTTCAAAATTCTATTGCCGTTATGCTCAGTTTTATGTCTGCTAGATTATAACTTTACTGAGTTATCAGACCGACACATGATACAGGTTTAATTTTAAAACTGTGTACTATCTGATTGGTCAGACATTGCATTTCAGTGACACTGACTTCTAATTTAAGCGGTATAAGGTGCCCACTATTACATTAGTCCTGTGCTGATAATTATAAAGTTTCATTTTTTTAAAGAATTTGGATTAAAATTTTACAGACTTTTTATTTTAAACAAATCAATTTTTCTAATGATTAAACGCAAATTATTGTTATCTAAAGGGAAAGATAAATTCCGATAAAAGGAAGTTTTTTTTTGTTTTTTTTTTTTTGTTTGTTTGTTTGTTGTTTTTTTTTTTTACTTCAGAGCATAAAACGGACAATACAACTTCACAACCAAATAATGATTCAAAAACAGAAAACAATTAACAGAATACCAATTTAATTTTTACTTATATATTGATACATTCAATTGGTGGCAATATTCTGATTCAAGACTGTTATCCCAATCCCCTCCCTCGACTGACCTTCAATAGAACTTCATTCATAAGCTAATATATAGGACCCGATAAAAGTCTAAAACTACTGATGTTTTGTAATTTTCTTTACCATTAAAACGTGTGTTCCATTAAGTGTTCATACGGTACCCTAGGACAAAATGAACTCGGTCTAGTTTTTTTAAAAATATGCATATCTCAAGAAATATTCAAAACAACGTTAACTTTCAATTTGCATTTTTCATAATTAATCATAATTATGCATTGTACATGAAATATGTGTAAAAAGACCACACGAAATTTTCTGCATTCATAACTTAAAAAAAAAGCAATTGATTCTAACATGACATGATCAGCACCTGATGAATGACGTAAGTGTTACCTGTTCAGTTCGTGGTATGCCTCCAGGTAATCTCTCAAGATCAGCTGATCGTTGTTCTGTCGACATCGCAGGAAGCCTTGATGAACAACTTCCAGATCAAAATCATGCCTTTCATTCTTGGAAAACTCCGCCATTTCTAATGGAATCTCAACAAGAAGTGTTCATACGGTACCCTCGGACTAAGTCTGTTAGTAAACAAAGGTACACGTATGCACTCGTCTGAAAACGTGTACAAATTAAAGCAGCTTTTGTAAGCGATATTTATTTAAAGGACACACAACCTTGAACTATGGAAGTCGCCAGCATACGGGACGATATAACATGTTTAATTTCATACATATAGTATCTTAAATATGTATTGGACATTAAACTTAAAATATCACATATAACTATGAATTAATCAAGGATTAAATTATATGTGAACCTATGTATCGGAAATTACTTGCTGTTTACTTACAATTAAATCACTGAGGTTATAGGAAAATTCAGGTTTTGAAAGCTTCTTTCCCTCTAAGCAATATTTTAGGAAAAAAAAAATAAAAAGAGGCCCATGGGCTACTTATTGTGGCCCCACCTTACCCATGGGGTCATAATTTAAACAATTTAGAATCTACACTACCTCGGGAGGCATCCACATAAGTTTCACCTTTTCTAGCCCAGTAGTTCTTGAGATGATTTTTAAAGATTTTTCCTATATATTTCACTGTAAAACTTTGATTCCCTATTGTGGCCTCATCATACCGCTAGAAGCTATGATTTGAACAATTTAGAATCTACATTGTACACTACATGTACCTCAGGAGGCCTCCACATAAGTTTCAGCTTTTCTGGCACAGTGGTTCTTAAGAAGATTTTTCCTATACACATTTCAATGTAAAACTTTTATTCCCTATTGTGGCCCCATCCTAGCCCAAGGGGGCATGATTTGAACAATTCAGAATCTACACTACCTCAGGAAGCTCCCACATAAGTTTCAGCTTTTCTGGCCCAGTGGTTCTTGAGAAGAAGATTTTTTTAATGACCCACCCTATTTTTATCTTTTCTTGATTATCTCCCATTGGAATGGGGCTTGGCCCTTCATTTTAATAATTTAAACTCCCCTTTACCCAAGGATGCTTTGTACCAACTCTTGTTAAAATTGCCCCAGTGGTTCTTGAGAAGAAGTTGAAAATGTGAAAAGTTTACAGACGGACGGACAACGGGTGATCAGAAAAGCTCACTTGAGCTTTCAGCTCAGGTGAGCTAAAAACAAAACAAAAACCAATGCAACCAACCTGCTCATGCAATTCCTCGGATTATACGCGTCGGAAGCAAATTGAAAGTGGGGGAGGCTAAACCAACAAAAAACAAAAAAAACAAAAAAAACAAAAAAAAAAAAAAAAATTGGGTTAAGCCCAAATTTTTTTCAATGACTATATATTATGTCTATCTTTGCAAAAAAAAGTCCCCCCCCCCCGGTTCCGACGCCTATGCGGATTATAAGTGACGTAAGTAATTTATAATTAATAAATAAATATTTTTATTTATCTTACCAATTCTGTGTCCTTTTTCGGTATTTCATGAAACTGTTTTTTACATGTAAGGTGTAAGTAAGGTAAAAAATATTTTAACCATGAAACATTTCCACCCCCTTCCCCGAAAAAAGTTTTTCTCAGATGAACAAAATTTTATCTTATTTTTTTTTCTTCTGTCAAATGTGACTTGTCACAATCAATCAAAGTATTTTGGCAAGCCGATTAAGAACGGATCTATCGGAAAGGACTAAGGCTGAAAAGTCAAAGCTACTTCGTAAAAAAAGTCTTCATGACCCCACCCCTTTCCCCCACAATGTCGTCACCGCTTTTACTATCCCATGCCATGCATATAGACATGAATAGACATGAATATCATTAATATACTTGTTCTATCATAGTTTTAATACAGAACTGTGTATTGATATGATGTTATAAGGGAATAAAATTAAAAAATGTTTAAAACAGAAATAGTATTGAAAAGACAGCTTGACCTTGAGCACCGCTTTTTAAATAAGTACATGATAATAAGCTCAGATCATTAATTAATCATTAGTTTCACTTGTACATGTCGTCAAAATGTATATGCAAGAATAAGACCTCAATATTTTCGTTCATAAAAGAGTTAATTAAAAACAGTACTTGTAGTGACTAAGAACTGCGTACACCAAATTGATGCTTCTGTGTGCAAGCCCGCTGGTGAATTTAGAGGGGATGTAGGGACACGCTGCCTCCCCTTAAATTGTTTTAAGTGGACTGGTAAAAAGAAATTAATACATAAATTATCCTTACTTAAAAAAGATATAAATCTATCATTTAGGTATGGCATGTCAAACGTTGCAATATTCGATCTTTTCCATTTGTATTGTATAATTTTCCATTTATATTCTATAATTTTCCATTTGCATTGTATAATTTTTGATTTGTATTGTATAATGTTTATTTGTATTCTATAATTTTCCACTTGTATTCTATAATTTCTCATTTGTATTGTATAATTTTTCATTTGTATTGTAAAATTTTTATTTGTATTCTATAATTTTTCATTTGTATTGTATAAATGTTCATTTGTATTGTATAATTTTTATTTGTATTTTATAATTTTTCATTTGTATTGTATAATTTTCCATTTGTATTCTATAATTTTCAATTTGTATTCTATAAATTTCCATTTGTATTGTATAATTTACAATACAAATGGAAAAACATACAATACAAATTGTAAATTATACAATACAAATGGAAAATTATACAATAAAAATAAAAATTATACAATACAAATAAAAAAATTATACAATAAAAATAAAAAATATACAATACAAATAAAAAATTATACAATACAAATGAAGAATTATTGAATAAAAATACAAAATGTACAATACAAATGAAAAAAATAGAATTGTCCTTCCTGATATACTTTATTTTGACAAATAAAATATACAACATATAACCAGTTAGAATTTGGTTATAAGTTATAAAATTAATTCCTGGACTATATCCGTTGTTTTATCGTAAACGGGGAAGAAGGAATGTTGGCGGTAATAAAGTAGCGGCGCTGTGGGACCGTAATACAATTCAAACGAGAAAGGTGCCGTATTCCTTATGGTCTTCCAATATAAAGTCCAAGAACTGGTAAAATCAGGTTTCCGAATTTATTATACACGATGGTAAATAACAGTGAACATGAATTTCAACAAAAGCTTACAAGTCTTAATCGAGTTGGATGTGGCCGGTAGAGCATCGGGCCTCCAAACTGTAGAAAGTATAATGTACATAGCTTTTTGTAAGATTAAGAGTAAACAGTGATTGACTTATGACACTAGTTGAGTTGATTGATGGACAGGTGTGTTTCTTTGATAGAATGGACATGAAAGAGGTTATAAAGTAATTGTATAAATAAAGTTATTGATACAGGATTAACAAATCCCGAGGCATTAACACCTAATGAGTAGATTCTTTTAACAGAGTCACCGAGGGTCAATTGGACTGTCTTAATCTGGCTTCAAAGGAAATGAGATAAATAATAGTTAAAGACACAATTAATTCTATATTAGCACATAGTAAAAACAGATAAAGAATTTACGTCATTAAAGGGTCCTCTCCACTGCCAGCGAGTCAGTTCCCCAAACTCAGATCGTAGCCAAAAAGGCGACACGATAGAATACAAATAAAATTTTACAATGTAAATGAAAAATTATAGAATACAAATGGAAAATTTTACAATACAAATGGAAAATTTTATAATACAAATGGAAAATATACAATACAAATGGAAAAGATAGCTATAGAATATTGCAACGTTTGACATGCCATATTTAGGCCATCTTTAAAAGATTGGGGTTTTTTTGCCCTCTCCCGACCAACTGACTAAACACGGTCCGACTCAAAACTTTTTTTCAAAAATTCCAGTGGGGGGGGGGGGGGGGGGTCCTGACCCCCCTCTAGATCCGCGCATGAATAGCATTGGCACCGACTTTTTAAGAAGGTAAATCACTCAGTATAGAAGAAGATACTCCTGCGGAATACCATAATCATTAAGTTTCTGGGTTACTCCATACTTAGATCAAGGCGGGGAAATTTCAAGCGATCCTAGACATGCATGCGTATAACCCAAAGGAACTTGTTTCGTATATGAGGTCACCTTCTTTTTCCAAGAAGGGGTTGGCCCTATATACGAAACAAGTGCCTGTGGTATAACCCCTAAACGCATACAAAATCCAAGATAAGCTACCACAAGTAAGTTTTTCTTCGCATCGTCATCGGCATTAGAGCTTTCGTGTAATAAAATCGGGCCGTAAGATGCCCTTAAAATAAAATTGGTGATATGACGTTTTCTCTAAGTGTTCTTGGGAAGATAATATATATTTGTGTTCCGGGTGCCCATAAAGAATTTTGAGACACTTCTGCATATGATATGGCTTTCAAACGATTTGACTATCGCTACTTTCACCTACTTGATCAATCTATTAAACTTTTTCCATCAAGTATTGACGCTTTTATAAATTTAAAAGTTTGAACTGACAAACCCTGTTTCAAAATTATCTGGTTGAAAATTTGATATTTTGGATATTTGCAGTCACACGAAAATTGGTAGTGAATTTTAGATTGTTGAGCGTAAATTTATTCTATAATCAATATATTAAACAATAGATTAAAAACTCAAAAATTTAAAATGCAAATATCTGTTCTGGAAATTATTAGTTCCTAGGCTTCTAAGCGTAAATTTGCTAAATAATTGATAGATTACGAACTCAAAAGTTTGAAATGCAAAAATCGTTTTTGTAATTCTGAATATTTAATATTTTAGGTAAAAATCAAAGAATTTAAAATTTTATAACATGTTTTTTATTTTGATTTATATTTGAACTAAAATTTTACAATTAAAATCTACAAAATCACTTTTGAGTTTTTGAAATTTAGCTAGAATTTTGTACTAAAATATAAACTACATGCTGACTTGAGACAATATCTGCACATAGGTGTTTGCCTCTAAATGTACTCACCCTCATATTTAGGTAACAAGGGAAGAAGCCACAATACATGTAATTCTATAATTTACAAAAAAGTCCCTTTTGGACCCCCCAATCATCTAAGGTGAAAATCGAAATTCTGAAACCTAAATGCACATCTGCAGGAAACTCGATCCCAGACTTATTCCAAAATATGATTGGGCTACTGTGAAAAATGTATGAAGTTCAGGGAGCCAAATTTTGGTAAAAAATAATCTAATACCCATTTGGATTTTGAAGCCCAGGGTGAAAATTAAAATTCTGAAATCTTATTGCACATTTACAAAACACCTTCAATCAGCATCCAAAAGATGACTTGGCTACTGTAAAAAATGTAAGATGAGTTCAGAGAACCAGGTTTTAGTAGGAAAAAAAACATCATTTTTTGACCCCCAATTGCCCCTAGAGTGAAAATTAAAATTCCAAAACCCTATTGCACATCTATAGGACCCTCTCAATCATATCCAAAAATATGAATGGGCTTCTGCAAAAAAGTGTAAGAGGAGTTCAGGGAACCAAGTTTTTGTAGAAAAAAAAAAGATTTTTTTACCGCCATTTGGACCCCAGTGTGAAAATGAAAATTTCAAAATCTTTTTGCACATGTTCAAGACACCAACAATCATATTCCAAAAGATGAGTTGGCTACTGCTTAAAATGAAAGATTAGTTTGAGGAAGAAGATAGTGTGACAGACGGACGGACTGACTAGAATAACAATAATACTCCCGAACTTTCTTTCAGTCACACATTGTGATATAAATTTTATCAGTTTATAAGATGCTCTTTGTTTAATAAAACCACAAATTCAATTTTTATTTTTTAAATATGCTTGGGAGAAAAATATAAACATTTTTAAAACTCTTAAGGTTGAAAATTTGAGGTTTTAGACCACATATCCCAGATACCTGCAGGGGGGTAAGGCCATGAAAATCACAATTTTGTTTCTCTTTATCCAAAGATAAAATGACCCAAAATTTCAGAAATACATCAACTGAGCATAACATTTTGCATTTTGCAAAATTTTTGGAAATTTAAGTTTTCAAAAATTTACAGATGGCAAATGCTGCACATGTAATTTCAAACAGAGAAGCCTTTCATAAATTTCAATAATAAAAACTTCACTCTAAATACTAAATTCACAAATTGAGTATGAGCTTTATATATCTGAAGATACACATGTAGGCATTCTGTACACCTTTTTCACCCATCTCCTTTAATTTGATATCAATGGACATTGCTATTTCTATAAAATCAGAAATACTATTCTCATACACCCTTATGAACCTCTATAATGATTAATCACTGTATCTTCAAAACTGATTTCCCTCCAATTTTGTCCCAAAGACATGATAGAGAAGACTAAATATGATTTAATTTATTATCTTCATCTGTTATCAAAGTGATATAATTTCAGAAAAATCCAATGAGTGAGAAGTTGACACTTTCTCCCTTAAATGATACATTCTTTCCATACATTGGCAAAACCATTTGACTGCAAAATGGATGAATTTGTGAACATTATATTTATTTCAAATTTTGCAAAAATTTTTATTACTCTCTTTCCTCTCTATCTCTCTGTGTTTTTTTTACTACTAGATTTCATTTTCCCATGATAAAGTAGGGATTTTGCTGTTACAGTTGCCATGATATATTTTGACTTTCTCAGAGCAAGTATAATACTGATCAAAAACCTGGGAATACCCATTGTCTCTCCACCACACACAGAGCTGGCGATTCCATGAACATGGTAAAATGTAAAACAGCGCCTCATCTTCCAGAGAAACAAGAGTGTAAAAGTCTTGATCTCCTAGATGTCCCTTAAATAAATATTTCTGTGTTAATCTTTCCAAAGTTTTGGGTGAGTCTATCAGTGAGTTATATGCATTAGATTCTCTCATTTTCTCTAGGTTTAATAATAATACACCACTGTTGAATCCTGTCAATCCATTAGGAGGAGGTGCTCCCACTCTAGTGGATGGGTTTTTCCCTCTGTATTGATGAAATAAATGTCTGTAAACTGGTTGATTTTCTCTGGCTATACCTATGATATTTCCTTCTGAAAATTCACTAAATATTTCAAACAAATCTTTTATATCCTCATCAAATTTCAGATCTACATCAAGCATTATAACTTTGTCAAGGGGAATAACTCTGTGCAACACAATTGAAAGGAAAAACAGTGGATCTCCATAATATCCTTTAGCACTGTGACTGAAGAAGTTCTGCATTTGAGTAATCTGTTCTCCAACCTTTCGAGTCACATCAAAAACATCATGAAATATAATCTGTAAAAAGTAAGGGGAAAAATTAAAAGTATGAAACAACATCAAATGAATTTTTCACTCCATAATCTATCCTCCTCTGAGTTTCAATCCTAAAAAATTAAGACTTAGGAATTTACACTCATCCTCCTTGAAATCCTATCCTGGAAAAAAAAATTATTGCCTAAAAGCAATCTCTTTTCAAGATTGTTTATTATACATCCATTAAAAATATATCAATAAACAGCTGATAATTCAATTGTAAGCACATTTTCAAAAGTCCCAAGAATTATAGCATGCAATATCTTTTCACTTAATTGAATGACAACTTGGCTTTGCATAAAGTAGTAAATTTATGAGATGCTCCAAATTCAGTGTTGTTATTGCACACTGACAAGTAATCTCAGAACTCAACATATGTAAAAATTGCTTGTACAGATGAAAAAAATTATTTCAGCAGATTTTACACACTTTCGTATGTTTTCTAAGTTACCAAAAGAAAGAAGTACAATAATCCCATGATCTGATTGGTTATTAGTTGAATTTAAATTTTTATCATCTTTAAAATTTCATTCTTTATTTTTCTCAGCTGAAGCCAAAGATATGTATAAATATAATAATGTGTAACAGGAGAGGAGAAAAATGTGAGTGACCACAATAAAGAAATGGAAGAAATGTACGAGGAGAGAATAAGATCGTTACATGAAACTATTGACAATCAAAGATCCGACATAGAAAAACTAAAAGCAGAAAACAATGAAATTAAGCAAATTGCTAAATCAGCACTAGCCAAATCAAACTGGAATGAACAATATTCGAGAAAAAACAACATTAAAATACATGGGGTGAAAGAAAATAAGGGAGAAAATGTCATGAAGGTTGCACAAGATATTATTAAAGAAAACACTGGAGTGGAAGTTACGGAGAATGACATCATAGCTATACATCGTATTCCGGGAAGACAGGGGTATCAACGGCCAATCCTGATGAAAATGAAAAACAATACAGCCAAGACCAGGATTATGATACATAGATCAACAATGAAAAAAAACACGAATTCTTCGATTCGCCTCAGTGACGATGTGACCTACTTGAACAGCAAACTTATAAACGATCTTCTCGAAAACCCCAGGATCAAGGCTGCATGGTATTTTAATGGACACATCTATGGTCAAGTGGGAAGTGAAAAGGTTGTGTTTGATATTTTTGACGATATTGAGGAAAAATTAAATCTCAAAGACGACCAGGAGTGAAACCTCTAATCCGGAAATTATTCCATTACGCACGGGTTCTGTATATTATAATGATCATATAAACAACCGGTTGTGAGCTATACGACATTCCATGTGGTCAATGGTATGAAAATTGCCAGTGAAGTCTTCTACAGACATTACTGTGACGCGAAATATTTTTTATTTTTCTTTTCATGTTCTCTTTCTCATACACTCTTTTCCTCTCTTTTTCCTTATGGCATGTTTTCAGAATAAGTATCATAAAACCAAACATTTACACAGAATGAATTCCAGTTGGTGTCAATACTCTATGCCGGAACTCTGTTTTGATGGAAGTTAAAATATTATCAGTTAATTGTCAAGGTCTGGGTGATGTTGCAAAGCGTAGAGATGTTTTCCATTATTTAAAAACACTAAAATATAACTTATACTGTTTACAAGACACTCATTTCTCATCTGAAATTGAAAATGAAGTGAGAAACTTGCGGGGTTATGAATGCTTTTTTAGTTCTTTTACGAGTAATTCCAGAGGTGTTGCATTTCTTGTAAATAACAACTTTGATTTCAAAGTCATATCAGAGAAAGGTGATAAAGATGGAAATTTTCATATTATAAAAGCTTGTATCCAGGGTCATGAATTAGTAATATGTACGATGTACGGTCCAAATAATGATTCTCCTGATTTTTTTGAAAATATTGAAACATATATAGAGGACATGAATTGTAGTAATGTTATATGGTGTGGAGATTTTAACTTAGTGTTGAATCCAGAATTAGACTATTTTAATTACAAACATGTAAATAATCCAAAGGCTAGAACTAAATTGCTAGAGATCATGGAGGGCAATGGATATATAGACCCTTTTAGACAACTTCATGAAAAAGATCGAAGGTATTCTTGGCGTAAAAAAAAACCTTTCAAACAAAGTCGACTTGATTTTTTTGTCATGTCAGAAACACTCCTGCCTTGCGTAAATAAATGTGACATTGAAACTAGCTATAGATCAGATCACTCCATGATTTCTTTGGTGTTAAAATTTTATGACTTTAAAAAAGGACGAGGTTTTTGGAAGTTTAATAACTCTCTATTAAGGGACAAAGAGTACTTAGATTGCATTAAAGAGGTAATCAATAATGTTAAAATGCAGTATGCTGTACCAGTTTATGAAAGAAAATATATAGATTCTCTTCACGATAAAGATATATGTTTCACTATAAATGATCAATTGTTTCTCGAAACTCTCTTAATGGAAATGAGGGGCAAAAGTATTTCATACTCTTCCTACTTAAAAAAGAAAAATGATAATGCAGAAAAAAAATTGAGAGAAGAAATAAAACACCTGGAAGAAAATCTTACAGATGAAAATGTTCTAGATTTAGAAAACAAAAAACAACAATTTGAAAGCTTAAGAAGACATAAATTACAAGGTATATGTGTAAGAAGTAGGGCACGATGGGTAGACGAAGGAGAAAAACCTACAAGATATTTCTGTTCTCTAGAATCTAGGAACTATACTAGTAAAATAATACCTATGCTAGAATTAGACACAGGAGAGATAATTCATGATCAAGCACAAATTTTAGAAGAAACAAAGAAATTTTATGAGAAATTATATTCTGAATCTGTTTTAAGTCAAAATTTGAAAGAGTTTGAGTCTGATCTAAAAATTGAGGATACTCCAAAGTTATCTAATGCAGAAGCTGAAGAATTAGAAGGTGTTATAACTTTACAAGAGGCTTCTAGCACTCTAAGTAAAATGAAATCAGACAAATCACCAGGTTCTGATGGTTTTTCAACAGAATTTTTTAAAGTTTTTTGGAAATACCTTGGACACTTTGTTGTCAGATCAATTAACTATGCATATGAGAATAATCTACTGTCTATCACACAGACACATGGTATAATAACACTTTTACCAAAGGGGGATAAGCCAAGACAGTTTCTCAAAAACTGGCGGCCAATAACACTCCTCAATACTGTATACAAAATTGCATCAGGTACTATTGCTAATAGGATAAAAATTATGCTTGACAAATTAATAAATAGTGATCAAACTGGCTTTATTTCCAATAGGTACATAGGAGAAAATACACGTTTGATTTATGATATTATGCAGTATACAGAAGAGGAAAATATACCAGGCTTGTTGCTATTGATTGACTTTGAGAAAGCTTTTGATACCATTTCATGGAAATTCATTCAGAAATCCCTGAAGTTTTTCAACTTTGGTCCCTCAATACAAAAATGGGTGGATTTGTTTTATACTAATATAAGTTCCACGATTAATCAGAGTGGTAACTTTTCACAAAGTTTTAACATTCAGAGAGGCTGTAGACAAGGGGATCCTCTATCACCCTATATCTTTATCTTGTGTGCAGAAATTTTAGCAATTCTGATAAGAAAAAATAAAAAAATCAAGGGAATAACTGTAAAGAACATGGAAAAGAAAATATCACAACTAGCAGATGATACTTCAATTCTGTTAGATGGTAGTAAAGAATCACTGACAGAAGTAATGAAAATATTAAAGAAATTTTCAGAAATGTCTGGTTTATATATCAATTGTTCAAAATCCCATGCAGTTTGGATTGGTTCCAAAAAATATAGTCAAGAAATATTAAGTCATGAGTATAACCTTAAGTGGGGATGTACAAGATTTACCTTACTTGGAATTCATTATGATGTTGATTTAAGTGAAATTGAAAGACTCAATTATGAACCCAAAATAAGACAAATAAAAGCCACTATTAGCCAGTGGAGTAAGAGATATTTGACACCTATTGGGAAGATAACTGTTCTTAAAACTCTTGTTCTACCTCTCTTAAATCATATACTAATGGCTATTCCCAATCCATCAGAAAATTTTTTGAAAGAACTTGAAAAATTATTTTTTTCATTTGTATGGAATGGTTTACATCACAGAGTGAGGAAAGATGTCTTAGTAAAAAAATACGAAGAAGGCGGACTAAAAATGATAAATCTTAAAGCTTTCATTGCATCTCTTAAATTATTTTGGATGAGACAGCTCACTCTGTCAGATAAAGGTTTACAAAACTTTTTACCTAATATAGATTTGATAAAAATATTAACATGTGGCATTGAATATATTAAAACTATCATGAAGAATTTAAAAAACAAGTTTTGGAAAGATGTTTTTGAGGCTTGGACTGTTTTAAATGATAAATATTCTATTGACTGTAAGGTCTCAGGAGATGTACCGATTTTTTATAATCCTAAAATTGTCATTGGTGGGAAAGCTATTTATAATAAGAATATGTATGACCTGAATATTAGATTTATAAATGATCTTATAGATGATAATGGTTTCTTTTACAGTTATGAGGGTTTTCGTGATATATATCCAAATATTAAACTCAACTTCTTAGAATTTGCAGGTATAATACATGCTGTAAAAGCATGGATGAAAGCAATGACCATTAATGATATTATTGCAAAATTACCAAACCCATTAATTTTGTCTAGCACTCATATTCTTTCAAAGTGTAAGAAAGCAAAACAGTTTTATGAAATAATCAATGTTAATGATGTTGAACCCACTGGGAAAACAAGATGGAATGATATTTTTGACTTGGGGAAAAATGAATGGAAGATGATTTTTAAACTTCCTTTTAAAATTACAAAAAATAGTAAACTTCAATGGTTTCAATATAGAATTTTAAATAAAATACTTGGTACAAACTCCTATCTATATAAAATTAGGAAAAGAGATGATAAATTATGTTCTTTTTGCAATGTTGAAGAAGAAACAATAATACATGTTTTATGGGAATGTGACATTGTACAAACTTTTCTTAACAGTTTTGAAGTATATTGTGAGCAAAAGATAGGGCTGCAACTTTCATTCACAAAGCAAAGTTTTATTTTGGGGTTTCTAGGAAAAAACAAAGATATTCATAACTTGTTGGCCTTGTGGATAAAATACTATATTTATACAATGAGATGTTTAGGAAAAAAATTAGATGTCAGACCTGCAACTTCACATATTAAACTTTTTTATGAAACTCAGAAATATTTATCATACAAAAATGGAGACAAAGAGGTATTTGACACCAACTGGAGTCAATGGAATCGATTGTTTTTATAAATCTGTTATATTAATTATTCATGTATTAAATGAAAATTGAAATACATGATAACATGCCAACTCTCTCTCTCTCTCTCTCCCCTCTCTCTCTAAAAAACCACAGTCTGAAAAATATTAAACTTTGTATTATATCATATCTCTCTCTCCTTCCCTCCTCCTCTCGCTCTCTCTCTCTTAAAAACCACAGTCTGTAAAAATGTTAAACTGTGTTTTATATTATGATATAACAGATTGTGTATTAAATAAAGAATTAAAAAAAAAAAATGTGAGTGACCAGACTGGGATTCAAAACCCAAGCCCCCTAAATCAGTCAGGTGTTTTACCAACTGAGCTATCTGGCCAACGGTGATTGAACCAGTCTGACCACCACATTTCTCCCTCCTTAAATATCTTTGCCCCCATAGACACCAACCCAGGCTCTTCCCTGGCATGTATTTCACCTGTCACTTCCAGGGCATGGCACAGCATAAAAATGAACAGCAGAGGAGAAAAATGTAACAGACCAAACCAGGATTTGAACCCAGGCTCCCGAATCTCCAATCAGGTGCTTTATTAAATGAGCTATGAGTGATCAAACCCGTCTGACCACCAGAAATGCAAGTTCTGAAATTTGCATAGTCCAAGAAGTTTCTAGACTAAAGTTTCAAAAATGTCTATGAAACAAGCCTCATCATTGACAATGTAATTTTATACTAATATTTGACTTCATAAAAGTTTGTAGTACAGATGCTGTACATATATCACATGGCTTCGAGGGTGACATACCAGAATGTTTGCCCCAAGGTGACAGGAAAGTCCTGGAGTGTTATGTCACCCGATGCCGAAGGCAAACATTCTGGTATAGTCACCCGAGAAGCCATGTGGTATATGTTATATAACATTTTTTAAAATTAAAAAATCGTCTAAAATTGTTTAAGTTTAGACAAATAATCCCAAATGCTTTCATGACGTTAGAAATTACGCTCCGTTGTTTACATTTGCTTAGCAACCAATGTCATTGCATCTCGAACCCAAGCTACAAATGCGTAACATAAAAGCACTTGAAAGTGATTGAGAGGGTGTTATAACTGTTTCCGTCGGGTGACATAACTGTTTCCGGCGTGTGACATAACTGTTTCCGGTGTGATTCAGCATTCTTCAAGGTTTATAGTGAAACTTATTACATTTGTGATATAATAGGAAAACTTATTCAAAAATGTTATATAAGATAATATGCAAATTGAATATGCTCTCATTCCACAGGCACTTTATTCAGTAATCATTTTTTTAACCCATAGTATAATAATTAGGGATGGATATCGGCAAAATTTTCGTATCGTGATACATCACGATTTTTTCCCAAAAATATCACAATAAATCATGATATTTTTACACACAATTTTTACTACAAATTCAAATGAATTTCCATAATATTTCTTTAAAAATTGCCATAAAAATATAACTCTATACTTTTTAAATTTTTATTTATTTGATATAAAGAATGTTTGGATGAAGTTGTTTAACTGTTTTCAACATTTTTTACACTTCTTGTAATTGTCATTCAATAGATTGAACAAATAAATGAATAATTTCCGGAATTTATAGTTATGTACTAAATACCGATATTTTAGTCTTCATATCACGATACATATCACACAATAAAAAATCACGATATACCGGTATACCGTTAAAATCACACATTCCTAATAATAATAACACAAGCTAATGTGCTAATCCCAGGCAGAGATTTTGATTGGCTGAAAATCTGTTTCGAAGATTACATCTTAAAAATATCATATTGTTTTTATGGAAAATGAAATGAATGGAATTGAATTTTTAAAGCCACTCATTTTTTAATTTCGCTCTCTGCCCAGGATAAGCACATACCATTTCATGGTGTAATTCGACTTTTCCACTTGGCAAGCAGAGTTTTGACGCTGTTTACAGTGATAAAAGAAAGTAAAGACAAGCATACCATATATGGTTATGTAGATAAATTACCGTAGAAGACAATGGTAATAAACAGTTTGCCAGTGCATTCCTACAACAGTGTAAATGAGTGCAATTCTGGGAAGGGGGGTACTCCATGTAATTCGAAGCTGGATACCTTGTGTTATTATTATACTATATGCTATGTATTTAAAAAAATCATTACCGAATCAAGTGCCTGTGTCTCAGTCTCATCACAATTGAACCATGCATTCCATTAGACAACTGATAACAATCAAATGAACCTTTGATTTTTTTCCTGCTAAAATTGTTTTTAGCAGGAAAAAATCAAAGGTTCATTCCATTATGCCAAAAAAGTTTTTTTTCTAGGAAAATCACCTTTGTTCCCTTTGGTGCATATCGTCTGATTGTGGAGTTTGCCCCTGTTTTTCCATCAACATCACATATTATGTGAAAACAAAGTGGAATTGAAGATTTCCTGCTCATTGACTGTATAAGAATCTCAAATCTACTTTGTAAATTTGGATTGGTGTTCGTATTTTTTAATATTATCACAATGTTATTGTTTTCTGATAGAGTTATTTCCCTTGATGTTGAGCGATTTCTGACATCTTTCACTTTACTGATCTTTTCAAGCTTGGCAGTTCCTCCTGTGAACAGATAATCATTACTTATCATGTTTTCTTTCATTGTAAAACCTTTGAGTTTTATAAGAATCATTAAGACGGCAAATAATCCACAAAACCCACAAATCGTTTTCTTGGAGAAAAGGCGGAAGTATCTGATGATCGCCATGACAGTTCTCACGAGAAGTTGAATTTGGCCAATCACTGCTTGTTATTTATGCTTTACACAGTATGGCGGCTTAGTACATGAATTTCGCAGTGTCTGTTCATTATTTAGCCTGGTAGGTTCTTTTCTCACTTGCATTATTTTTTGGCTTCATGTTATTTGTGTTAACTAATATAAAGTTTTACACATGTTTTAATTTTAAGTATACTGATAACCTAGGTATAGTAAATTTATCCAGTTTCTATGCACGCTGAAAGACTTGTCTGAACAAGTAATCAATGTGCAGAATTTGCTACTGGTATAAGATAATGACCACTTCGTTATGATTATTGTGGCTTTTTGAATGTTAAGGTATAATTACAGTATGCATATAACATTAATATGCAAGACGATGAAACCGTTAGGACGAGCACAGTTTCCTTTCTTTCTAAGAAAACTCTTAATTTCAATAATCGATTATGAAAAAAATACTGGTTGCCCTTCACTAAGGGTTGTTTTAAGTGATCAGAAAAATGATGTTATATACAGAGTGATGTTTATTGATAATGCATATGTTAGGCCAAAATGAAAAATTCTTTTGTTTCCCCTAACGCGACCAACCCAATTAAAACGCGCCGACTAGAAAGTTTTTTTCCATAAGATTATTCCAATATTTATTATTTTTTATATCTAATATATTTGATAATTACTGGGACAACAACATTTATTTGAATATTTGTCTGGTCAAGGGCTCCAAATATAGACTTGTACACGGCACTTTAGGCCATTGAGCAGTAAAGAATCTTTTTCGTGCCAGTATCTACTGCAACACTGGGCCTAAGTTTTTATGGTCTCATTCGAAGAACCGGTCTCAACATCCTGCATTGGGATTTGAACGTGCAACTTAGAAATAGCTCTTTACTTCGAGACTCCAAAACAAGATGCTCTAGAACCACTGCACAATTCGAAGCCCTTGAAAAAGTACATTGCGTATGTAAGCACTGGAAGCTGATAGTAGACCTGTATAAAAAATATACTGATATTTACTGAGAATCTTTTAAACAGATGTACAATGTTTTCAATTTCAACAAATTTACTCTGATATGAGATATTTCACAAGTTCAATTAATTTACCTTAAATGTTGAGTCTAAACTGCATTTGTATGGTATTCTAGCTGTTTACAAATCGCTTTCTTTTGTACTTAACTTATTTATAAAGGTATCATTCCATTTAATTTTAGGATTGTAATTTAAAAGCTGCTGTCAAAAAAAAAATTATTTGCCTACCTACCTACCAAACTTGAGATTTTTGGGTTGGGTTAGGGGAAACAAAGATATTTTTAATGATGGCCTTAGTTAGTGTGTAGGGGAGATATTCCATAAAATTCTCTTTAGTAATTCTTTTCAAGTAAGTTGTTGCTTTGCTTTAGCCACTACATTCCTATGCACACAAAGAGGCTTGGGATTTTTAGAATTTTTTACATGAACTCATAAAAAATTTCTTTGAACTGCAGATTTCAACCAGAATTTCCTCTGTTCCTACACTTTGTTATTAGAGCTTGCAGTACAAGCAGTGCTTTATGTCACTTGCTGTGCTTGGTATTAAGACATCTTTGAGAATATTATGAAGATTGTTATCTTCATTTTTTTTTCTTTCAAGTAAAACATTTTTTTTTCTCCTTGATAAGGCCAAAGAAATGGACATTGATGAAAAGTTGCGAGAGCAGAGCAAGGTGCTCTTACAGAAATTGAAAGCAAAGCAAGGCAGACTACAGCATATGCTAAGTGCCAGTCGGAATAATGATACAAATGTGAAAGATACCACACAGAAATATCACACAGATTCCAATACATCGCAAGCAAGAAGTAGTGGTACAAAACAGTATGATGGAGAAACAGTCACCCAATCTTTAAAGGAAAATGGAAAGTCAAGAATTAGAGTATCGAAACCAAAACAAATTCAGATAGAAAACAAAGAAAATTTTGATCAAACTACTCAGTTGAAACAAGGACTCCAATCCAAAGAAATGATGCAGGAGATCAGTAATAAAGGAAAAATGTGTAACCCTGGCATTTCGTATAGAAGAGCAGACAATGAAGTTAAGTATGGTAAAAAACCTTTGTCAACCAATGGAAAATTTGAGAGAAATGAGAGAGATGCTACCGTATCAGAAAGAAGAAAGTTAATTGATCGCAATGTACAGGTTGAAGGGGAAGACATGAGCTGTATGCAAACAAACAGTGGACTAAATTTTAGTTATTCAAGATTTGATGAAAGTGATCTTGATTTTGCAAAGTCATGTATGGATGACTCTGCAAAGGAGGAGGAACCTGAACAATACTTTGATTGGCTTCAGGAAGCTGGAAATGACAAAAGAGCAGCCAGACTGATCCAAGAATCATCCAAACCAAAATCGATACTACAAACTACAGGCCCGAAATCTCTGAAAAAGGTAAGCACTATCATTGAATTATTAAAAGTACTATCATTAGTAGAATTATTATTCAAATTATTAAAAGTACTATCATTAGTAGAATTATTAATCAAATTTGAAACATGTATGCAGTACATGTATAAACCTTTAAAATTTTAATTGCATAAATTCAAGTATTTTATTAAATCACTTATGCCTTTGGTCTGAAACTTAAGAATTCAAGAATTTTATTGTAAAGATTGCTCTGTACCAGTAGCTAGAAATTTAAATTGAACTTAATCATATTATTTGCTTTTGTTGTGCTGAGCCTAAGAGATCTAAATCTTTTACAGTCTTTGAGCAGAGTGAGTTTTCTGACATCACAGGATAGTCTGGGGAGTGACATAGATCCCCAGGGCACAAGGCATCTGCTAGGATACGACTGGATTGCTGCTCTACTTGACAATGAAAGGGGTACAACAAGCCTTCCAGAGAGTTACTTTGATGAACTGAGGGAATTTAGGCGGCTCAACAGAGATGAATGTGTGAATAAATTTTACATGGAGTACGGGCATCTTTTTTAACTTCTTCTTGATTAACATAGTTTGATATGTTCAATGAGTGTTTTTAAAATAAATTCTTGATGATTTAGAACCATGATTTGACACAGGATTGTTCATGAATAGTGATTATCACTTATTGTCATAACTCCAAAAATAATTTATATTTTCTGTAATTTTATATCTTGTCCCAACCTTTGATATGAATCCTGTTTTCTATTGCTTTTTTGACCCAAATTTACATGGTGACCTTTCTTCATTAAGGTCATTCTTCCAAGGCAAGAGTTAACTATTCTGAAAACACAGTGTAATTTCATTGTTGCATTAAGTCTGATTCATTTATCATACAACAAAGGAAAAGACATTTTATATGAATTTCAGAGGCCCTGAGTCACTCTTTTACGAGTCTTCTGACCCAGAACCTGTGAAGGAAATCCTTCAGGACACCAGTAAGTCCATTTATGTCACTTAATACTTATACATTTACCTGTAGGTGCAATTCTGCACTATAATGTATTACATGCACATGTGTATATCATAATTCTTAATTGAAAATCTGACCATAGATATGATTAAAGGTAGAGCAAGTAAAATGAAAGGTAGGTTATGCTTGTGATTAATTTTTTTTTTGTTTTTCATTGGACACTTAGCTTTATAGCTAATGTTTTGTTACAGTATTTTCCTTGTTCTGATTTGATTTTACTTTATTGTATATGCTTTACCTTCTATATGAAAGTTTTCAACATAATAAGTATATTCATGAACATGTTAGTAAAGAAAGACCTATATATGCAGTAAAAACATATTTTTGCCCCCATAAAAGGCAAATTTTGAAAATCTGCAGAAATGTACTTAATTGTATTTATTGTATGGAAATTCTTAATTGACAAAACTTATTATAGTTTGTTAAGTAGATCATCATCAAGGGTTAATTGTTTCTGTGACGTCACAAACTAATTGAATTTTCTGTTATTTTCAAGATATAGGTTAAAATGGACAAAATTTGTTCAATTTTGAGTTTTAGAATTGATTGAGCCCAAGCTTACTCCAGAACAATATTCACATATTTGATTGCTATTATAATTCTACGCATTATATCAAAAACAGAGCTGGGGCAGGCCTGCGCTCGATGACTTTTAATCAAAATATCGACGTAAAATACCCTTTTTTCTCTTAAAATCATTGAAAATTTGAATTTATGTCATCCTCGTGATGTCATATCTAACATACATGTATAACATCATGGCTGATGAAAATTGGTAGTGCTCTCAAGTCTGCAGATACTCCTATTGTTTAGAACATAATTATAGATTTTTCAATCAAAGTTTTATTTTGGGGACAGATATTGGTCAATGCCGAATTTAGTCCTTTCATTAAAATATAAAGTTTAAGTGAACACTGTCCTTGAAAAGTAATAACTGATAAGTTAATACATTAAATTAACATCTAGGTTGCCTTTAATACATTAAAGATTTACACTGTTTATGACTTTAATTGTATAATAATTTCATTATTTTCAGTCTTGTTATCCTGTTCATATACTTGTAGATATATTATACAATTATGGACTGTTTAGTAAGCAGTCATCACAAATAATCAGGTGTGAGTAGTTCTACTTACTGAACAGTCCATAACAGTTTTATTATCCTGAAGAATCTGTAATAAAATAGAGACTGTGAATTTTGGGAAAACTACTTACCCTCTCTTCTGATGCCATACTCTGAAAGTAAAATGACATCAACATTGAATTTATTTTTTAATGATCCTGCACATTAATCAATTTTATATAAATGTATTACACAATTACTCAATGTGTTTGGATTAAGAAGACTTTGTAAGTTTATGATTTTATTATAAAGTCACAGCAAAGGCAAAAACAATGGTACATAAAAAAGTTCAATGGCTGCAGGTCTCGGAGCCAAGATGGTGAAAGCTCACATATTCAGTCTAGGAGCTAAGATGGTAAAAAGCTCTCATAGTCAGTCTTAGAGCTAAGATGTTAAAAGCTATTGATACTCAGTGCGCACATCTTTTGTACAAGAAGCTGCATCATAGGGATCACGTATTTGGTAATAACAATCAGTAAGATACATTGTCACTAAATTAATATAGTCTCCCCCTCACTGAAGCTCTGTCTCTCATCTCCTTATAGGATACGGCAATGTCCTCCGTTTACATTAACATTGTGTATTTTGCACATTCTTCAGTTAATTAGATGGTTGCAGCTTTGCACAAGGTCTGATTGGAAGTGTCAATGTTAGAGAACAACACATCGTAAAAACATATTGTCCGTCAAATGAAGACGCTCACTTATTGTATCCAATCTCCCAGAGTTAGTAAACAAGTTCATAATTAAGAGGTTATTGTCCATCGCTATGCACACTAATAGTATCAATTATAATGCAAAACACAATATTTAAGATATTAATAAACGCAATGTACAAAATTAATATATCAATTAAAATTATAATTTGTATGCTCATTGTGTTACGTAAGGGAGATACTTTATATTTGACCATGAGAAGTCTGTTAAATATGCTACCAGTAAGAATGAGGAAGCAAGGCTGTGAATAATTGTGGGCAAAATTTTCCCAGCTCTTATCCAATAATTTATCATGATATAGTAATTAGAATTTTATTTATAGCTTCATTCAAAAGTGGTATGTTCAGCAGGTCAAAGAAAGTACATGTTTTAAAATACTTCTTATATTTCAGAGGTAAAACCTTACATAGTGAACAACAGGCTTTTCACAGAACCTCTGAAGAATAATCTGCTTCCAGGAGAGGAGTCTCCTAATGAAAGGAAAACAACAAAAAAGCCTACCCAGGAGGACCCAAGATTTGTCAGGTATTGAAGAAAGTTGTATGCACAGTATAATAGCACTTCAAGTATGAAATGCTATAAATCACAGAATAAGTTTTGGATCTGATACAGATGCTGAAAAGAGACTGCTAAAAAAATAAATGAACCTAATTACAGCTTGCACATGTACTTCATTCACTATTTTAGAAATACCCAGCAAGGGCCTGTACTTTGAATTATTTTTCAATGATTTCATACATGTAATTATACTCATTTAATTATCAATTTAAAACACCTGTATTGTTCTTTTGTTAGCTGAAAAAAAAAACTTATTTAAAAACACAGTCATATAGGGTCATTTTGCTGGCATATATGTACGTTAAAATTTCAGTACATTGACAAACTTTGTTTCCCTGTGTTTCCTGTTGTTTTTACATTTTTTATTGGAAACATAATCATACAATTCCTTTACTAAAGTTTCTGTTCTATAAAATTCTATAGAGTCAGTATACCCAGATCAACACTTCTATCACCACACCGTGTTAAACCACATCGAAGAAAGAGTTTGGAGGACACTGACTCCTTTTCTCTGTCTCAGGTAAGAACGCTGACTTTATCTCAGGTATATAAGAATACCAGCTTCCATCTATCTCTTGACAAAACACTCAGATTTCTCTATCCCAGTTAACGAGGTTCGCTCCTGAGCTATTGAGCAGATTTTTATTTTAACCTATATTTAAAAAAAACTGAGTAATGCTTTAATTCTTACAATAAATTTGGATTCTACAATGCCAAATAAACTATATTCAGTTAAAACTCCATGATTAAATTCCATACCAAAAGCATTAAGTGAGGAACTATATTTTGTGGCGGAAGGTTTTTTAGAAGAAAATGATCATTTTTTCTCTTTCGAAGTATTTAAAGTATGTTAAGTTTGGATTCCTATTTTTACATGCAGTCTGCACACAGAGTTATTTTGTGCAGTGAACTGTTTTATACTGGTCCTAAATTATATATTTAATAAACTGTCATGAATTCAATCATCATATTTGATAAGTAAATCAAATATATTGTGAAAATCAAGAAAAAAAATAGCCCTAATTTAAGCTCAAAATTAGCACTATTTTAGTAATATCTAAAAATTAACATCACAGACCCCCACTTTTAACTTTCTTTTCTGAATATACAAGATACTTTTAACCATTCTTCTTAAATTCAGTAAAATGTCATTACTTTTAAATGAGTTTTTTGCTTGTTAAATTTGTAATGCTAGCAAAATGAAATTTTTTGAGTGCAAAAAGGTCAAATAATTGAATGTGCGGAGTAATTTAAAAAAAAATTTCGTTGTCAAAAATTTTAATGGGTCTATTCAAGATGAAATAAGACTATGTTTGTTCCCATAATTTATTTGAATAAAAAATATCGGAGGAAAAACTTAAAAAGTTGATTTATGTGTAAGACGTTTTTACAGTGCAAAAAGGTCAAACTAAATGCTCTGTAGCGCCAAAAGAAGCGTATTGACCCCAGTTTTTTGTTTTGATTTTTAATTAAGCTATGTGTATCAATTCTAAAAATATACTTGATAAAAAATTCTCATTACTTTTAATGTCAGGATCCAACCTCCTTAAGGACCTTATGCCTTGCTCTCTCAGGAAGTACATGTACTGATAAATTCTGAACATCATATAAGGATACATTTCCCCATCATGAGTAAAGAAATTAACTAACTCTATCTCTGTTAAAGGCACTTCTCTGCTTTTAGGTCACCTGAGTCTCTCAGGGTAAGGGGTCCTTGTGTTTCTCAGGAAGGGTGGGGGTGGGGGGGGGTCTATTGATATTATAGTGAAAATAAGTTAATTCTTTGAACATTTTTAACTACCAAGATAAGTGCATAGTTATGATATGATGAGGGTACCTCTGCCAAATTTGTGAATTTCATGACCCTTGGTCATAAGTTCTGGTGTTAGATGTTAAATCTGTAGTGAAAATGCATTATTTCTTTGAAAATCTTCTCTGCCCCTGGGCATATCGGAGGCAAACAAAGTTTTAATAAGCAAGAGTATGTTTACAAGATTTTTGAACATCTGGACCATTTGGTATTCTGGTCCTGGCCAGGACTCTCAATTTGTATTCCACTGAGCGAAGTTATTCCCCTTTGCCATTCACTTTTAGTATTTAATCACTGTAACATAATGTATTTGAAAGGTTAATAAAAAAAGAGAATTATGGAAGAATTTTTATTGTATAGTACAAAAAGTACTCCCATAGATTTAATGATCAGGTAGACTTGTAAATAATAGATAAATAGAAGTGTGACCAAAAAAAAAAAATAAATGTTCTTCAAAGACTAAGAGAAGCCAATGTGAGAGATAATAATATGGGGGTAAAAATAGTACCGATGCCATATTATTTTGTTAATAGTCTGCATGATAATAGTGATAAATGGGGGACAGATTGGAACTTACTTTATCAGATGTTACTGAATACTAGACTATTTCGTTGATCCTGATCATCCTATTTCCTCTTGCTTTTGGGCTTTTCTATCAGTTTATTATATCCTCTATGGATCCTCTAAATTGTTGTATTATACTCAGGTGACCATTAAGGCCCTTGGGCCTCTTGTCAGGAGGAATGTTAATCCTCTTGGTTAAGGACACTTCCTCCTATCAGTCTCAAGATACTATAACTTCTCTAAGAAGTAAACTCTCTGGCATCTCAGTTACAAATGCATACTGTATAAGTGGAATTTTTCGCGAGACGCAAATCTAGCGATTTATCCAAAAACTTGGTATCTATTTTTAGCGAGAAGTAATTTTAGCGATTTTATAATGTCAAGTAAGATAACTATAACAACCGACAAGTATAAGTTGTTTTCGATATTCAGTTTTAGTGATCTCAAATTCTACTTATATGGTATTTTTCTTTGGTCAAATTAGGACATTCAATCATCTTAGTATTTAGTATTTATGATATTGACACCTCTCTGTCCCAGATTATGACATTACTACTCACTCATATGCATAAAGTTTGAGATTTCCTATCATCTGAAAGTGGTATGTTCTTTTCCCCAGTGGTTTCAAATTTTAAGTAGGATATACATAATTTATAAAAACATGTACATGTAATAATATAATTATATGTTTTTGTTGATTCTCGATTGAATCGTTATTGCCATCTAGGACAAGGCTTGCTGAGTCCAAGATTGCAACCATGATTTCCAAAGGTGGGATTAACGTATACACATACTACAATCTAATGCATAATAAGTGATTTTCTTTCATTAGCTTTTAAGGTCATCAAAGTCACTCAGGTGACCTGTTGCTATCTAGATCTGATTTTATCCATTGCTGTTCACAAAAACCCAGGCTCTTCCCTGGCAGGTCTTTCACCTGTCACTTTCAGGGCATGGTCACAATACCAAATGTAACAGGGAAGGAGAAAATTGTGACTGACCAGGCCAGGATTCAAACCCAGATCCCTTAAATAACTAGTCAGGTGCTCTATTGAGCAACTGGTGGTGATTAAACCTGCCTGACCACCACATGTGTCAGGGCTTGAAATAATTGATGGCCCGCTGGTCTGGGGCCTGTAAATTTAGGATTTGGGCTAGTGCTTTGTAGAAAGCACATGTCCTTGAGACCAGTGATTATTTTAGGCATATCAAAATTAATTCACAGTCAGACTAGTTAACTAGACAGTTTTGTGCATCCAGGTTCTAATGCAATGCGAACAAGTCCTAGTTTTGTTAGTTTGTACTATGAAATAATGCAATGTAAATTCAATATCACAAAGATTTCAAAGAACAATTTTTTTAAGAAGTATATTCTTAAACATTTTAATGTTTTCTAAATGCTATGTGTGCAGTAAACAAGGGCTATGCAGAATCTAAAAGTGGTACTACAAGAGGTGATTAAGAATGGTGAAGAAATCTGATTTTTTTAAATGTTGATCATTAAAATCAGAAATAAATTCACATTTCAAGTTACATCAAATGTAGTCTGATTTTGTCTCCTCACAACGAAGTTGGACGGGATTTAGTAATGCCCTTGTGTGCGTGTGGGTAATTAAGTGTGTGCGTAATGGAAGATGCAAGCAATAATTTATGTTGTTGTCAATAGAGATGGATTTGCTATTTTGCGAGGGGACACTCTGCTTTGCGGTGCCCTTATTTAAGCACTTGTTTCAGGCCAGTCTTTTTTAGACAACTAGCCCAATAGGACAAGGAAAGTTATCGATTGACCAGTAAAATTTTAAGTTAATAGCCCAGGTGACCAGTGAAAAAAAATAAATTATTTCGAGCCCTGCGTGTACAAGGTTTTTGGATCACACAAGTTTTTGGCCACACGTATATAAGGTTTTTGGATCAGAATCATTCCTGAAAAATAATAATTAAAAAAGGAGCACATAATAATGAATGTGTACCGGTAAACTTATTTTATTGAGCATTTATTTTCTTCACATACTGATAACATCCATCATGATGAATTTAGTCATCTTTTAGTACCTATATTTTTCAGCATTGTATGAAAGGATACGAGAATTCTGTTCCTTCCATGGTCCCGACAGCATCCAATATTGGCCTACGAGATGCTTCATTGGGCCTCAAGTCCAAAATGCAAACAGTAAGTTTATGTTTGTCAGTTATTGAAACTTCTAAGATTTAGCAATATTTGTGTACAGTACATCAAATTTTAGTACTTTGTTTGTTAGTAGATCAGAAGAGATTGTATCATTATAAAGTGTTTGTCTTTATGTCCTCATTTAAACAATATTTCTAAACTGCTTTTCCTCCTGTAATTTTCACCTGATTTTTGCTAAAATCCAGGGATTATATTTGGATCTTTCTATCTGTCTGTCTGTAATTCTGTCTGTCTGTAACAGTAGCATACTGATGATAAGTTTCTAGATAATATCTTTAAAGGGGCTTAGACACAGATTTGAAGTTAATGTTTTCTTAAGTTTTCAGTGTTATATCTTGACTTATATGTTTCTAGAGCATTTCATGCCAAAATATAATAAAAGCGTGTTTAGAAACTTATTTTATCTGTAAATGAATTCTGGATGCATTTGATTGACACATATCCTTGCACTTTCAGGAAATAAACTTTATTCTTAATACTAAGAAAAGAAATTTTGTTGTGTATTAATGAAAATATTGAAACTACAAGGGGTTATCAAAAAGTTTGTCCACTGATGTGATAAAATTAATACTATGTAGTTGTTGATTACAAATTTTATGGGGAACATAAAACAACAAAAATTTAGATAGTGTTGAAAAATTCAGCTTGACATGTTGATTATTTGCCAAATTATCATTAAATAAAAAGGGCATTATATGACCGTTTAGTTACATGACGTCCGACAATGTCATTATTTCTCAATACCCACTCCTTCTGCCTCAATACACTTATCTTGATGAGATTCTCTGGAGTAAAGTAGAAACCTAAACCCATCTTGTTTATATGACTTTACAATGTCATGATCACCTGATTCAATGCATTAATATTGTGAATTTTAAATCTATACATAGGAAAAGATCCTCACTCGAATTGCCAGTATAATTTTCTTGTTGGAGTTCTATTTCAACCAATGATCAACTTCACTTTTCGACATGACTGACTTTGGACACCCTGACTGTAAATCGACATTATCCGTGTGTCTCTGTTCTTGCTGAATCTTTTTTTGGTATTTAAAAACAAGTACTCTGGATGTATTTTATTTCTCTGTAGCCTGTTTAAATATTTTCCAAGTCTATGCCAGGTTTTCCAGGGGCTGAAACGTTATAGAATGTTGTAAAATGACACCCTATCCCCTTTCGATGTCATTTTGAACCCCTTTATTGTTTGGAATTCAATATAAAATTTACGATAAAATTTCATAGAATATACAGAGTGAGGTGAAATTTGCAACTTTTAAGGAAAAATTGTCTCATATCACACGAGTGAATTAATTGGATTTTCAGATGAAAAATGCTCATATTAGAAGAGTTTTTCTCAGTTACACTCAGGTAGAAAATGCGTCATGTTTGAGGTTGCGCCGCCTGGACATACCATTGCTTCCAAAAAAAATTTACGATTCACTAAAAAATAAAACTTATGATTTATAGTTTATTTTACAGATAGAATAGATGATGCTTATTAAATGTTTAAAATTCATTGATGTACATATAGCGGTGTTAATTTTATGGCACTAGTCCACGAACTTTTTGATAAACCCTCATATAATGCAGAAAATTTGGAGTAGAAATGTCAGAAAGCAGAAACAACTCACAGTTATTGTCAGTTCATGCTCTGCAGTGATGTGTGTAGTGTTACCAAATTGAACACACCAGGTAAAATGTAAACATTAGCAGTAACAGAGCTCGTGCCCTGTTTACGAACACAGATGTTTGACATGAATGTAAACAAGAATGACATTGTCAATGAATTCTAAGAATGTTCATGTAAGTTCAATTTAATTAAATTGAAGTTATTTTGTGAACAAACACAGAAATTTAAAATGTAAAAATGCAACTGTGTCTAGATCCCTTTAAAAAGTCTTTAGCTTGTGCAGTGAAATTATATATTTTAAATTGCAATGACTGAAAGAAGACCCAATGGATTTTTTTTTTGTACGCATGATAATTTCCTCAAAATTTCTGCAAATTATGCTACATTGTATATATATATATATATATATATATAAAGAGAGAGAGAGAGAGCTTGAGCTTTGTTTCTATGGGATTTGTCCAAATAAGATACATACTGACTAATTTTTCAGAACACATCAGTGAAGGTAATAGAATGTACAGCTTAAGCAAATATTTTTGTACAAACAAAATTTGTGTGTCACCTCCAAACCAAGCAATTAATACTGTATTTAATATGCGTATAATAATTCATTTTTATATACAGTGTATCAAGCTAACTTTAATTCTAGATAGCGAAAAACCATTTTATTTTTCACAATGTATTCAAATGCATGCACAGAAATAATAGTTTTTTTTTGCAATAATTCAGTACCAGCAGTCTTTCAATGATGGTACAATGATGGTACCATCCTAATAATCTACATGAGAAGGGATCTTAAATATTTTTGACTGATTCTCTCAAAGTGTTTACTAATCTACAATAAGCACTAAAATAAAATGGATACAATATTATGAATTCTTTTTTAAAAACTAATCTGTCTATAAAACAGTGTCCAGCAACAAATGAAAGGCAATCTACACAAAAAATCCATTCATGTATGTTTTTTTTTCCTTTTTCAGACTCTAACAGATGCTGAAAGAATGGCAGCAAGTTTTCCTTATGCATGGGATACTTCCGCAGCTGATCAACTGAAGCCAGTAAAATCCAGTTTGTATTCCTCTTATCAGGATATGACCCTCCCTTATAGCATGCGCTCTAATGTTCCTGGGGTAGGAGAAGAATCCCTGAGGCTAAAGAAAGCCACAGAAGACCTGCTGAACTCTACCTATTCCTTGATGTATGAGATGCAGAATATCAAAAAGAACAGGGAAATTGGAGTGTAATCAAATCAGACTGACCTTATGAAATGTGATGATTTATGTTTTTATTTTATGTACTGAAGCTGTTTCTTTAATAGTATTAAATTATTTAATTATTTTAATGATGAGATCGGTCTTGTTTTATGCTTTTATGCCCATTAGTAGAACCTTTTGGGGGGGGGGGGGGGCACTAATGTCTTGACATGTGTTGTAATTTTTCCTACATCTGTCCAAGATAGTTCCCACTAAAGATGTCAGGGAAATATTGATGGAATTGATAAGATGGATTATTATTGTGACCAGCAGTATTTGTATGATTGTTATGACCAGTTACCAAATGACTGTTATAAACCGATCACCAATCTAAAAAAATATTGGCACAAGAAAGAACAATACACTTCTGATATTATTGTATGGTAATCAAAAAGGTTACTCCTGACAAAGTTAATTTGAAGATTAAAGGTTACAGTGATACTGAAAAATGTATCGGGTATGTGATGGTAGAAGATGATAATCCTAATGAATGGCTCAGTCAAGATAAATTTGAATTTCATTTTTAAAGATCAAGATATTGTTCATGTTAAATATTTTTATGAGATCTAACATTTAAATGATTATAAAAGGTCAACTCTATATCTAAATAGTAAATACAAATTTCTAAGTTGCAGTACTTGGAGTCACCAAACACCATTAGATATCATAACAACATACAGTGCATTCAGCTTTGAATTCACTCCAAGCAAGGATTCCAAAGTTAAGGGTCGATAACCATTTAACTCTCTGGATGACTTTTACCATTGAGATATGACTTTTAACAAGAAGGATGTACACTTCCAGACTTGCTTTGGATTCTGAATCTGACCTACATTTTCCAGATGAGTGACCAGGGTAATGTTTTTGGAGTAGATATAAAAAATGGGCTGTTATGATTAAACTTGCATTGATGGTGCATATAAGGATGAAAACTTCCAGACTTGCTTTGGATGTTGGAACCATGGCCGTAGGAACCGGGGACACGAGGGGCCGTCCCCCCCCCCCCCCAATAATTTTTTCCGATATTATAATACTATAGAAAACATAGCTGCTATATGCATGTGTCCCCTCAATAATGTCTGATGACCTTTTTTTTTTCTTTTTGCTTGTCAAGGAATTTTGGTCGTTCATAGTGCCCCCCCTCCCCAACTGAAAATGTTTGTGCCCCCTCAAATTGAAATTGCTTCCTACGGGCCTGGGAACTGACCAGAATTCTCTTGAGTAGTAAACAGGTTAAACGTTTTTTGAGCGGGTATATTTTCAAGTAACTACAAGTCCTACTTAAACCAAACTAGCATGGATATTGATCTTAGGATGTACACTAACTAGGAAAACAAGATGTGTTTGTGAAACACTGAAGCCCCCGTATGGCAACTTATAACAAAGGTTAAACTTTCTCAAATGCAAATCAAATGTGTTGGTACCCAAATTAAGGTCTTGACTCGAGGAATAAACCTGAGAAATATGAAAACCCTACCAGCAACCATTGAATAAATATGGAAAAGGTTAATTTTTTTTCAAAAGTATGTCAAAAATCAAGGTGATGGTCAAATGGTCAAAATGAATGGTGCCCAAGGAAAGGCCTTCTCCCATGAAATACACAGGTGAAATATGAAAGCCGAAGCACCGATCGTTCAAAAGTTATGACCAAGGTTAAAGTTTTCCAAAAGCAGGTCAAACTCCAAGGTCAAAGGGTCAAATTTGTTGGTATCCAAAGATAGGCCTTGTCACAAGGATTACATATGTGAAGTATGAAGCCCTAGCACCAACCGTTCAAAAGTTATGGCCAATGTTAAAGTTTTCCAAAAGTAGGTCAAACTCCAAGGTCAAACGGTCAAAGTTGTTGATATCCAAAGGAAGGTCTTGTCACAAGGATTACATATGTGAAGTATGAAAGCCCTAGCACCAACCGTTCAAAAGTTATGGCCAAGGTTAAAGTTTTTCAAAAGTAGGCCAAACTCTTAGGTCAAGGTCAAAAGGTCAAAGTTGATGGTATCCAAAGAAAGGTCTTGTCACAAGGATTACACTTGTGAGGTATGAAAGCCCTGGCACCAATTGTTCAAAAAGTATGGCCAAGGTTAAAGTTTGGTTAAATTTTGCAAAATTGGGTCAAACTCCAAGGTCAGGGTCAAATGTCAAATATGGTGGTACCCAAAGAAAGGTCTTGTCAAAAGGAATACACATATGAAATATGAAAGCCATAGCTCCAACCAATCAAAAGTTATGGGCAAGGTTAAAGATTTTGCGGGCAAACAGACAGACTGACAGCTAGAAAGACGGACGGACAGGGCAAAAACTATATATCCCCGAATCTTCGATACGGGGGCATAAAAAATATGATGTGAAATTTGTCTTACCTATAGATAACATTCGTCGAGGTTATATATATTATAGAGGAAGGAAATCATGCAGTACAATACAATCAAAATTTAAATTTATCTTAAATTTTAAATAAAACCGACAAATGACTAAAATTATTAGTTGTTCAAAAACTATAAATGTTCTGGAGAGAAATTCCTGTTTACAACTGTCAGTGACGGATAGCGTAACCATTGTTCTATCGTTGCTGTAAATTATTCAGTAAGTGAAGCATTACATAATCTAGGGGGGGGGGGGGGGTCTAGGGGTTGCAACCCTCTTTCATTTTGGTAAAAAAAAAGGAAGATGGAAAAGAAAAGGAAAAAGGAAGAGGTTATAAAGAAAGAGTTGTGTATACATGGAAAGGGTTTTTGTGGTGTCGGGGGGGGGGGTGCTCTATATATTGAATTTATTTTAAAAAGCATTATTCCTTTGAAAATTTTTATCAGAGAATGCTTACTCTTCCTAGGCACGTACACACCTCTGGTGTTTGCAGGGGGTTGTGTTTTTGCCCTTAATAGGATTCGTATTTGAATTTTTGAGACTATTCTTTAAATAAAGAAATTAAGATACTTAAAAATCTAAACGGAATCTGAACTGGCAAACCATGCATACACATACGTTCTTTTAAAGGTGACCTTAGAATTACTTAAATGATCTGTAATGTATAAGGGAAAGGGTTTTTTTTTTAATATCAGTGATTGTATAATATACAATGTAATACAATGAAGTAATAAATTCGAAAATTTTAATCCCAAATGTTCAAGTCATTTCTGCAAATTATTTATAACAAAAACTTTTTTTACTACATCGAATGGTAGTAACAACTACTATCCATCTTGGAAGTGATCAACGCGATAATGAAACGCAAAATAATGTAATTTCTCGTCTGCAGCAGGTGAGTCATCAGTAGAGGCCATGATTTTTTTTTTTAAAAATATCAGGCAATGGTAAAAATCGATGTGGATAGCGACATGTGTTATGAAGCAGTTCGATCAATTCATACTAACTGGGACTTAAAATATCGAAAAAATTACTAACCATGTATAATTTCCAGGAAGATGGACTAAGAAAATGAACGAAAGAGAAAGAAGAATACTTCAACGTTTTCATTACAAATTCATTACGACCATACGGACAGAGGAAATTGTGCCACTGTTTTACTCAAAAGCAGTTATTAGTAGTAATTTTCTAAGTGATATCCTCCATAAATGTACTCCCAACGTCGAGAAAATGTCAGCTCTTCTGTTTGAGGTGTATGATCGTTGTTCAATGTCGGATTTTCTGGAATGTCTGGAAAAAGCAGGGTATGATTTTTTATGGAAAGAAGTAAGACTTTTGATAGAAAAACCTGATAGCTATCTTCAGGTTCGAAATTATGCCAGACAGTCAACCTCTCAGAATTCGTGTTTTGTGGATAGTTTTGCAGAAAAAGTAAAATTTAAGATTCATAATTCAGAGGCACGAAACTTTAAGTGTGATTTTAAACGATGGGCCAAGCGGTTATTGTTTAACCAGCGCCAAGGCAGACTTTCTTTATCCGAGTCTCGTCAACAAGCTGATTGCTGCTTCATTCTGCTTGACTCTCTGGCTGTTATCGAAAGAACTCACTCCTCCGACAAAAATAACCTCTGGAAATCGCCGGTGTTTCCTCAAATGGAATATCTGATATCTAAAACCTCTAACCCTGTCTTAAGTAGAATACGACATCATGCTCGATACGGTGTTGCTCTTTTTCTCGGAGGCAGAGACCAAGAGGGAGAGGAATATATAGAGGCAGCATTGAAGGATGCCAAAACATTCCTGCATTCAGGTCGTGATATCGGAAACTGTGTGTTTGCACTGGTTAATTATAAACTTAATCAATTCAGTAAAAGGAATGCTATAGATGGTAAACAAGAAATCCTTAATCTTATAGAAGATGGAATTGCGTATTTTCAGAACGAGGATGAGGACACGAGAAACAATTGGCGAGGAGTGTATCTTGACAAGAAAATATCTTGCCATTTGGCTCTTGATCCTTCAGGACGAGCTATTACAAGTGCCCAGATTTCAAACGAAGACCTAAAGGTAGCAAAGGAATGTCTCTGTGAAATGGATAACACTTTGAGTAGGAAAGATAAACGAAGAAAAATTCATTTTTATCAAGAGCAAGCGCGTTTGTACAAACAAGAATCAGCATTTTGGATTGCTAAAGGCTTTTTAAAACAGGCATTGGAGTTATGTATTAAAGGAGGATATGAATCCGAATTACACATATTAGAACACGAATTAGGAAAGCATTCCTCCACTTTGACAGACCATAACAATTTTACATGCATGAATTTAGATTTGACGTGGGATGATGGCTCACAAAGTCCGGAGGAGGAGGGAGTTTGTTTATCTGAGGCTGCTGATTCACCTCTCCAATGTTCTGATGTATCACCTATTGTTACCACATGTATATCAGAATTATCTCGAAAATTAAACATTGAAAACAGTATGCTTACTTCTTCAAACGAGAGTGACCTGGTAGTGGATGAGTAAATACATGTGTTAAAGTTCATGTTGACTCCAATTGTAACTAATAGGAAATATATTCTTTTTTCTTAAAATTATTTTTTTTTACTTTCATATTCAAAATAAAGCCTTTTTTTTTTTTAATTTATTGCTGATTTATGTTTTCAAAAATATTGATGTTATAAATGTAAACATGAATAGTATAATTATTTAATCCCAAAGATAATATTGATAATGATTTTTTTATCGCATTGTATCGCTCTTTTTATTTACTTAAAGATTAGGCTATACATAGGCTATACATATTTGCATAAAATTGTAGTAAAAATGTAATAATGTTAACGCGAATATTTTTAGTATTAATATTTAATTACATAGATGATTGATAAGGATGTTATCTTTAACGTACATTGTATATTACTCTTTTTATTTGTTTGCAGACTATTTGCATAAAATTGTTCAAAAATATTTATATTGTTCATGTACAATCGTTAAAATTAATAATTCCAATTAATTAATTAAGCACAGAGATGATAATAGGAAGTTATGTTTAGCCTATATTATTACTCTTTTTTTATTTGGATGAAATTACTCAAAAACAGTCATGCTGTTAATATTGACCCAATGAGTATAAAGCACTGGAAAACCAATAACACTATATATCCCAATGTGTCTAGTAAATAAATAGGTACAAGGTCACGAATGGAAATCTATACAAAGCATTAAAATGACCAACGACTTCTTTATTCCAGCCCAAATTTAAATCAGGACTGTTTCCTGCATTGTGGTTGAAAAACTCTCTTGTGCTTTTTTTTGTTTTGTTTTTTTTTTTTTTGTTTTTTTTTTTTTTTTGTTTTTTTTTTGGTTGAGTTATGGCATTGTATCAAGTTCTGTTAAAAAATTTTTCTGGAAACTACTAAGCAATTTAAGCACATCTGGTAGTAATATAATATACAAACCAAAAAATTGTTTTATGTGTAAAATGTTATATCCTTCAAAATCTACTAAGTCATTAGGGTCCAAATTAAAGTTTATTAGAAAAGTAAAATCTACGAGGAAATTCATCCTCCAAAGATTACTCCAAAATACTTGGATGTGGCCACAGAGATTCAAACCTTTTATCAAGGGATATATAACTTCCTCAAGAATGGGGCCCATACTAATCAATATGCAAACATGACTGTAAACTTAAGAATTTTTGTTGAAATTCTGGCCTTTGTGCTTTGGTTCTAAAGTACAGAATTTCAAATCATTATTTTTCAGAACGAGTGATTCAAGTGAGAATTATAGCCTATGTCCTTTTACCTAATTTACCAGTATATATTGCGTACCCACTGAGAATATACAGTAACAGATACATATACACTTAAATATACACTTAAATTAGTGAAAGCCAAAATGTTTGGTAAGGCTTCCTTAAGAGCAGTTATGCTCAAAGTAGTGGCTGATTGGTAATGTTGATACATTTTAAATGGATGAAAGAGATTGAGATTCTCAAATTTCGATGCATTTATCTTATTTCAAAAATACCTGTTCACTATGTGTTTGCCCTGCTTTAGCAGGGGTAGGAGAAAAAAAGGAGAGACCTCAGCTTTAATCCGCCAGTGAAGACACAAAGAAGTCGAAGATAATGGTTAATTGTTATATGGGTGAATTAATAAAAATGAAGGGGCACATATTTGTCGATCTGCACTTAAAAAACAGGCAATGTGAATAAATTTCAATGTCTCAGCATACGTCTTTTGATGTTGGCTAAATTCCTGCCAAATATTTCATTGACATCTTGAGTCACAAAAAAGTTAACCCAAAAATGAGGAGTGCAACACCTTTCTGTGACATTTTAAAAAAATATAATTCTTGAAGATCTTTTAAAATAAATAATACTAGTTTATGTTGGAAAGAAAGACTTTCCTGATAAAATTCAATGTATTGAACTAAATTTAGACTGTATTAACTTTTCTTTGACCGAGTTGTAGTCATGGCTGATGCTAAAAAAATGTTATACCATATCAGGAATGTAACAGAAAAAATGTAATGTTGCCAAAAACATTGATTTTAAAACTCTGTATGACAATTAAGTCAAAAAAGAATTTTCAAAGTGTAGAACAATAACTGATATATACCATTTAAAAGTTAAAAATGTTATATGAATCACAAGCAGCATTAATGAGAGTCGAGTATCCGTGCATACCCATTTATGTCAGGAGTGCAACATTTGATGTTTTGCTCCCCCAACACAGAAAAAAAGACTTTTATCAGTATATGATTCTTTGCTTTAATCTTATATTTTGGAAAATAAAACAGAACGTTTTTACCAAAAAAATTTATCAATTACAGGCTCTGTCTGTGTTTCAGATCATTATTTCTATGGTCAGGAGTAGAACACATTTTTTTAAATGAAAGATCAATGATGAAATGACTTCTTTTCACACTAATAAGTATTATTTGATCAATAAAGATCTCTATTCAGTTTCAGTTTCAGAAAATAAACATCACACATGGAGTTAGAATTTCCCGTTTTCAAGGCCAAATGCAGCCGATTACATATGTTACACTTGTATATAAAGACAGTGCAAGCTCGCGGGCAGACGACTTTATCAATCGAAACATATTTTAAGGGATTATTAAAAAACATTCTAAACAGTATTAAAGTCCAAGGAGCTACATTGTACGTTGTTCGAAAAGTAAACAGAACACATGGAACCGTTTTCTGTTACGTTTTTAGACAAATGAAAAATGAACGACATAGAAAAAAGAATATTGCGTCGTTATCATCCCAAGTTGATAGAGACTATACGTGCAGAGGTAATTGCGCCACTGTTTTTCGCCAAGGAAATAATCAACAGGAAGCTTCTGAAAAGAATATTCAGTAAGGATGTTACAAATATGGAGAAAATCATGAGTCTTTTACACAAGGTGAGTCATCGTTGTTCTATGCAGGACTTTTTAGAATGTCTGGACAAAGCAGGATATGACTTTTGTTGTGAAGAAATAAGACAAAGTCTAAAAGGAGAACAAAATGATGATAATCAGCTATGTAGTTTTGTAAGACAGTCAGGCACTCAGAGTCTGCCATTTGTAGATAATTTTGCGGAGAAGTTAAAGATCAAAATTCATAATTCTGAGGCACGAAAATTTAAGTGTGATTTCCTACGCTGGACAAAACGACTTATGAATCACGAAGATCTAAGCCAGTGCTCTCTCTCTGAGACGCGTCAAAGAGCCGACTGCTGCTTTATTCTGTTGGACTCTGTGGCTGTTATCGAAAGAACTCATTCATCAGACATCGAAAACCTCTGGCAATCGCCGGTTTTTCCTCAAATGGAATATCTGATATCTAAAACCTCTAACCCTGTCTTAAGTAGAATACGACATCATGCTCGATACGGTGTTGCTCTTTTTCTCGGAGGCAGAGACCAAAAGGGAGAGGAATATATAGAGGCAGCATTGAAGGATGCCAAAACATTTCTGCATTCAGGTCGTGATATCGGAAACTGCATGTTTGCACTGGTTAATTACAAACTTAAACGATTCGCTGAAACAAAATCTGTTATAGATAAAGTAGACATTCTGAATCTTACAGAAGAGGGGCTTGGTTACTTTCAAAACGAAGACGAGGGCATACGAAACACATGGCGAAGAGTTTACCTTGATAAGAAAATATCATGCCATCTGGCACTTGAACCTTCAGGACGAGCAATTAAGAATGTTGATATTTCAAGTGAGGACATGAAAGCAGCAAAAGAATGCCTCTGTGAAATGGATAAAGCCCTGGATGAGATGGATAAAAGAAGGAAAGTCCATTTTTATCGAGCAAAAGCTCATCTTCACAAACTTGAATCAAATTTTCGAATTGCAAGAGGTTATTTGGAACAGGCTCTGGATTTATGCGTGGAGGGAGGGTACGAATCTGAGTTGTGTGTTCTAAAAGAAGAATTGGGTGAGCAAGCAACTATCCTTATACAGCGTGATACTGCAATGGATTTAGATTTGACCGAGAACGTTGAAGCCTATGCTACCAAGAACGTCGATTTGATGGGTGAAAATTCTAGTTCTCTTCCCCATACAACTAGTTCATGTAAATCAACTCTCGTTAATAATTGTATTTCAGATTTATCAGAGAAACTAAACTTCAACAATACCGTGACTCCCTCCTCAAGCAAGAGAAAGTTGGATATTGACGAACTTTATGCCAAAAATAAAAAAAGTAATTCATAGTAGCTCTCGTGATACGTGATACACAGGAGGAAAATTAACTATAAAAATTAACCTGCACATAAATATTTATTTTTTATCTGTGCCATTGAGATCTTCAAATTAAATTGCTTTTTTGATGGAACAAGGTGTCTCTTTTAAAAGAGACCTTGCAATATTAAGCGTTCATGAACAAATTTTAGCGCATTTTCTGCAATATAATTCCTTACAAGCTCATTAATGTTTTTACAAGTTTTGAAAATGCAACTTCAGTCGGGCAACCACGCTTTCTGTAAAGGCAGAAATATACAATGTACTGTTTCTAATTTCTGTTAAAACACAGTCAACAATTCAAATTCATGTGACAAAGCAAACTTTTAATTTGGTGCAATGCATCTCATGTTATCTCATTGTTCCATGTTGCAAGTTTCAAATCTTAATGTTAAAGGCTTCTCACTTTTTGGGCTTGGGCTTTATTTAATGTGACCTTGATTTAAGAAATGTGTCATGGGGTGGGTGGGGGATGCGCCTTTTTTCATCTTAATCTCATCTTTCCATGTTCGAAGTTTGAAGTACTAATGTCAAAGGGCTCTCAAGTATGACCTGGACATTATTTTTAATCTGAGCCATGGATAAAGGTCCAAATTTTGGTCCAGTGCATCCCATCCTCATTGTTCTGCCTTCTGCCTTCCATGTCTGAAGTTTTAATGTCAAAGGGTAGTGAAATTTTTTTGTTTGGATCATGAAAATTGACGACCTTGATTTGAAAAAGGTTAAGGTCAAAACCCTTTTATGGATATATCCCTTCTTAATCTGATTTTCCATTCTTCTAAGTTTGGAGTTTCAAAAGGTTATCATTTTATGGCATGGACAAAATTTGGATGAAGTGTATTAGAGAGATACAATATGTTTTAAAAAATTTATTTTCAGAAATTTCATTGACTTAAAATATTCCTTTATTTGCAGAATTTAAATTGAAATATGTTAATAAAGATTTATTTATTCAAACTACAATTGATGTGTTTGTATTTTATTATTTATTATGTCTAATTGGTAAAGTATTAGTTTTTTTTTTTTTTTTGTTTTGTTTTTTTTTTTTTTATAGTCCTCATTAGGATTTATCTGTAGCTATGTTACTATTTATAGTTCTTTAAATAAAGTGTCATTCGTAACTAGTCACATGATTTTCAGGAGGGAATTTTCTGGTTTGTCATGCTCGCGGGTTAACATGGGTATGTGAGTGTTCCCACAAGTTTGAAGTTTTCTTTAAGTTTGTTGACTTTATTATTTTGAAAATATTCTGGATCAAGTGATATTCTGCAAGCAGGTTAGTGTTTTATTTAAGTTTCCACAATTTCTATATTTTCCCTACTTTTATTACTTTGAGTGAATGTTTGAATGTTAGGCAGTATGATGGAGTGAAAGATTTTTGTGTATGAGAACTGTAAATAATTAATATAAATATGATAGCATAAAACTAAATATATTTTTGATTCCTAAATAATGTGCTGAAATTAGAAAGGAGCATTACAGTTATAAAATTTTCAAATAAATCTCTATAGTATTCATTTTTATAAATAATTCCTTACATTGAACAATGTATCATTTCTTTTACATTTAGAAAACCAAATATACATACTCTGATAGGCAGATTATTATTTTTTATATACCAGACCTTCGCATCTCATGGGCAGCGCCGCGAGAATTCCATCGGTATCGAAAGCAAGTTTTTAGACTTGCCTAGATAGCCGAGCGGTCAAGCGCGCTGTTCCTGTACTGCTAGGAGACAGATTCCGTATGTCGAGAGTTCAACCCCGGGCTGGGACGGAAGTGGGTATCCTTATAAAAGTGAATTTCTTTGTGCTTTCTATATTAATATTTCTTCACTTAGGGCAGTTATGTTAGTTTAAGAGTAGTTGTAAAATGTGCTTTATAAATAAAAATGAATTTCATTACAACGTGTATTGGTAACGATCCTCTAATAAAACTAATGTCCAAATAACTGTATCTCACTTCCATTCTCAATGACCGTGTAGTGTAGGGCAGCGCCGCGAGAATTCCATCGGTATCGAAAGCAAGTTTTTAGACTTGCCTAGATAGCCGAGCGGTCTAGCGCGCTGTTCCTGTACTGCTAGGAGACAGATTCCGTAGGTCGAGAGTTCAACCCCGGGCTGGGGCGGAAGTGGGTATCCTTATAAAAGTGAATTTCTTTGTGCTTTCTATATATATATATATATATATATATATAGGTATATTCATATTTAGAACCGGTAATGGTTACTGTAGCGCAGAGAATGTTTATCTATTTGTCGGCACCAGGTCATTTTGATAGATAAGACAGAAAAATATCCAAGTCCGATAGAACAGCATGGACTGGGAGAGAAACATCATCAAAGAGACCTGGTTAGGTAAAGCAACTGAGAATTTATCGCTATTATTCGAAAAGAGATTTTATACGGATGCAAACGACCACATTCTTGCTTTTATATTGTCTTAATTCAATAGGTACATAATGAATGATAACCTCGTCAATGAATAATAAGTCACAATGTCGAAGAATTTATGAACCTTTAAATATACATTGTATATCAGCTGAGTTAAAATATATTACAGTATTTCAATGCTGAAAATGTAATAGATTTAACCTTATATGTGACTGTAAATAATTTCAAAAAAATTATAAACCTTGACATGTATATTTTATTCAGTTGAGATAGAATATAATTCTAAATTTAATATTCAACCTGATATACGATAAATAATTTCAAAGAATTTATTAACCTTTTAACGTAATTGTGCCACTTTTGTGTATCGGTTGAGAAAAAATATAATTCCAATTTTAATAATCTAATTTATATATAATAGTAAATATTCTTTCTTCCTCATTCAATTTTATCTTAGTTTTGTTGTGCTTGATTGGATTATTTGGTACCACAATCGATGGCGCCTTGCCTCCCGGTTGCACGCCTCTTGAAGAGCACCCCTTGGATACAGCTGACCCCGGGATCATTTTTGGAAGAACCACGGAGGTAGGAAACAAAGCTTCTCCGGTTAGGACAGGGAACCTGCGCCAGCATGGACCGATTCCAACTCATCATTTTGCAACCAATGAAATAAAAAATAACAAACCAATTCCTATGAGGTTGTTCCCTTATGAAGGCAGGTGAATCGTTCTGATATTTTTTTGTATCAGCTGAAAATAATATGTAGCTTCTGAGAAAGTTAGGAAATTTTTTATGTGGTTTCTGTAATCAAATTAAGGAATCATCGTAATTAAGATGGTAAGAAGCGTTTACCAATCTTTCAGCAATAATGACATCGTCTGGTATTGTGTATGATGCGTACACAATGGACAGGTGGACGAATCCGGATCGAACGGATCTGATGATGCAACAATCGGCATGGAAGTCCGGTGAGCCTTGGAACAAACTGACAGACATGGGAACCAACATGCGACAAGTGGTAAGCGGTCCAGATGGAAACCCGGGAGGGGATTTCTCAGGTAATTTTTAAAAACAGTGTTGATTGCATATATGCATGTATACTGTATACTAGTAGTTTCATGTATAACCATTCAGTTTTCATCCATGACTAGGTGAGTCCGGTGTCAGAGTAGGAATTGCCGGAAGTTCCGATCCAGTCCTGACAAGTTTTGGCGATTTGTATGCTAACTTTGAATACCATGGCAATGGGGGTAAAATGGAGGTGCCCTTGGTGCGTGGATCAGCCTTGCTAACCCATCTCTTCACTAATGCCAATCCTGTTATTAAGCCTTTCTGTTTGGCCAACTTTGCTGGACATCACGTGAATTTTAATTGTCCCTTAGAAAGAACAGGTATGTAATGCCTGTCTTTATACTATCAGTCATCTTTATAGTCGGGTATGGATACTGTATAGAAACACGTCATTTTTCGATTATGCCTGATTTCCTTGAAGTATTGGATGCTGGAAGTGGACATGCTAGCGCCACCTGTTCTGGTGGAACATTGCACCTAAAACTACAAAACACAAAAAGAATCACAGATGTGACAAAGATACAGTATGCTGCCAGACCGAAGACTCGCTGGACTGCTGGGGATCACCCTATGACCAACTGTGATGCCAGCAAGTGTAGACTCTCTGATGGAGGGAAGATCCTGCAGATAGACGTACCCAATGCTCATGGTTAGATTTCTATTGACTATCAATCAGGCAAAACCATTGATGAGGTTTCAGTACAAGAGGTCCATGAGCCTTTACGGTCACCTGCGTTTTACATGCAAGTTTCTTAGGCTATGGCTTCTTTAGGTCCATCTGGAAATGATCTACACTACTGTGATCAAAACAAAAACAGTTCTGTGAAAACTTTTTAACATTATCATATTCATGCATGATTTCTCCTAGCAGTTCGGTAGTAAAGAGGATGATACATGTAGTAAAAATAAGTTTCAATTTACGACTTACAGCCCAAACCTGGGGAATGATTTTTAAAATTTTTGTAGAGGGATAACTGCTCATTATAATCGATTTGCCTGCATCATGTCCAAGAGTTACGAAGAAGATTTTCAGTATTAGACCTACTAAGCCCCATCCTAGGGCTTGAACTATGAACCAAGGGGTTATGAATTTCACGATTTTATTAATAGGTTGAGTACTTTATACTACTGTATACAGGGTTATTTTCGCCCCGTGTTATTTTCGCCCTCTCACACTTGCAAACAATTTGCCCCGTTTTAAATTTACCCAGTCACAGTTCTGTTTAAGAAATTATACTGTCTTCTTTGAATTCGCCCCGTCTTAAATTCGCCCACTAGTGTGTTGGACGAAGGGGGTGAAAATAAAACGCAGGCGAAAATTTTCCTGTATACAGTATAATCATGCAAACAGTATGCCTGTTAGATGCCTGTCAGGTGACCTATTGCTATCCGTCGTCGTCAACATTTGCACATTTTCAGCTTCTCCCCTGGAAAGGAACCAGTTTCCATTTTTTGCATTTTCTGGTAAGGAGGAAAAAAATTGGTGAATTTCATGGTTCCCGTCCCCTTGAGGTCTGAAGGGTGGGGCTGAAACCATCAGAATAAATACAATCATTAAGAATCTTTTTCTTTACTTTTTGTCATCAAGCAGTCAAACTGTTGGTATGATTGTAATAAGAAATGGACCCTCTACCAAAATTGTGAAAGTTATGGCCCCAGGGTTAAAGGGGTTCTGGTGTTAGGGTTGGGCTGTATACTCATATAGTGAAAATGAATTATATATTCTTTAAAAAAATCATCTTCACTTCATCTGTTTATCAACCAGACAAACTAGTGATTAGATATGATGAGCAAGAGCGCCGCTTCCAATATTGTGAAATTCGTGGCCCTAGGGTCAGGTGTTTTCATATTGGGGTGTGGGGGGGGGGTCTATTGGCCACAGTGAGAGTGAGTTGGAAGCAAGTGGTAGATTTTTACACATTTTACATAATTTTACATAAGTGCTAGTTTGATTACAATTCAACTCTTTAAGTTCAAGCGGGTTATAAAAAATTGTTATCTAACTCCATATGCTGGAATCTGCATGGATGAAAAAATACAATTATATTTGCGATGACAATTTTTGAGCAGGTGTTATGGCGTTTGCTTTTAACTACGTTGGTCACTACGTCACCCCTTGGGATTGGATAAATCATCCGGAAGAAGTCACATGTCACAGTCGACGCAGCGAAAAAAGGGCGGGTGAAATAGCGTTACATGCCTCTTGTGACTCCAACAGGAATCTACAGATTGATGTTGACCTTGGTCACTACAACATCCCAGGGGTTGACAAGGTTGTTTAAACACTACATTATTCAATGGCATGAGAGTGATTTAATGTGACATCCTTTGTTTTTTGTCAATATATATCAAATTTCCTTTTAATAGTACATTGTATTTAATTTTGAACTTTGGTATTGAGGGGATTGGCCATTAATATAAAAATAAGAAATAAAGAAAATGGTATCACCAAATTAACACTGTTATGATGACTAACAGATTCAATATGCTGTTGAGCCAGAGAATACCTGGGGGAACCCTCCACCTATGCGTACCTGTAACCCCACCCTCTGTACCCACACTGGAAACATCGTCACTGTCAAACTGCGAGCACCTGCCCAGAACATTAAGTAAGGAGAAAGTAAAATATAAGTAAAAGTTTACTTCCTAATCAAGATAGGCCTCTTCTTACCAGACCGGAAACTTCCACTTAGCATCTAGAACGTGTCTACAAGCTTTATCTATCGAAAAAAGGAAGTTACATGCAAACAACATACATATGAAAATGTGTCAAACTTGTCTAACCAGAACACTTGAAATGTACTTCAGGAAAATTATATAAATAGCTTGTTTTCATACTATCTTCGACTTGAAATAACTCGATCTCTGAAATACTGTACTTTAAGTTTTGATGATGATCTATTATTGAAATTCTAATGTAAATAATTGAATTTTATGAACGATGATCTCTTAACTACGTGTATGCCAATGTTTACCGTAAAAGTATTTTAACAAAACAAGAATTTCGAATTCGATACTGTGATTAAATTAATCTTCAGTTACATGTAATGTTCCAGTATGCTTCATTTGATAGACTTGCAGTAAACATCATAGGTTACATAACCCTTCCACGCTCCTACTGGGTAGAACGCCCATACAGAATGGTCTGTGGGGGACCCGATTTAGGATCAGCAGCGTCAGGTAAAAAAAAATCTCCGAAAACCGGTAACGGGTCTACACATATCAGCAAGAGGTTGACTTTATTATTATTTTGAATTAAAGACAACAAAGTTTGTAGTGTGTAGGGTGCTGTGTGAAAGGAATATGACTATTTTAAGCAGAACTCAAACCTTGCATGCAACTTAGTGTTTACCGCATAAGAAGAAATTTAATATCCTACATTCAGGTGGAGGTCACGTGACTCCAGCCCCTACCCTACACTCTATCACAACACCCCGTCCACATCATACACATCCACCACACACGATTCGGACAACTGCCTCTTCCAGACCTCTAAGCCAGGGGTCAAAGTTTATCATGGAACTGAATGAACCAGGTGATGAATTACCAAACCAAACAAGGAAATTCTTACTGTATTTCCAAAACAAGGTCACCCCGCACATCAACGAAGCCGACAATACTATAACTTTTACTCCTACAAACGGTGGCACGTACTCAGGATTCATGCAGCTCGCTTATTTAGGTGCGGGTCTGAGGGGAGATCACTCAAATGATACAGTCCTGGACAGGTATCTGGGAGTGTATTCCTACAAGCCTAAGGCGTCATACTGCGTCAAGAATGATCGAGCATATGCCAGTTTTGAATGGAATCCCAATAACCAGTTTTCCTATCAGTCGGCAGGAACACTTCTTATGATCACGATGCCACACCATGTATGTTAAGAACATTTGATGTATTCCATTTATATCACTAGTATTTCAACGGAAGTTTTAGAAATGCAAAGAGCATATATTAAGTAACAGTTCAGGGGCAGATTTGAGGTGTAAACCTTCCCTTCAAAGTTAGCGACATTTTAAATTGTGATATAAATGAGTATCACAAAACACATCTTATCTGTTTTTGAAGAAGTTCCATTTTCATTGCAGGCGTACATCTTAAAAGATCATTATGCAGCTAACTTGCGGTCTACAGTCTATACGTTTAAGGGTTTTGAGGGGGCTAGCTGGTTACTGGATATGGAGGCACCGCATGCCGCTATGGAACCCGACCTTGCTGGTGTACAGGCTATAAAGGCCAACAACCAGCACCTCCAGGTATTTTACCCATATGACCAACAAAGGAAATACCATAATTTCTACCCCTTTGCCATATAAAATCTTGAAAATCATGTTTTGGTTTTGTTCTATCTCTCATCTGGAAAAAGGTCTGGATGGTTTTTAGATTTCATTCAAAGTATATTGTAAAATCACTTAAGATTTTTATGAGGTACAAATTTTCATGGCTTGAGAAAAAAATTATTTGTTTGTGTGGAATTGATTTTCTGCTTGAAAAAGGATGGTAGAAAAGCATGTTACTGTAGGTTGAAAATTTAACATTTTCAAGGAGGACATGGATTCGTCGGTAAAACGAAACCCCACATAATTAGTGATTTAACATTACACATTTAAGCAAATCTGATATTGTGTCTTATTTAAATGCAAAAGGAATTTTTCTTCCAGATTTACTAATATACATTATAAATATCTTTAACGATTTATTTTTTTTTTTTGTGTCTGCATTATTCAAAAGTACATATGGTCAACTTCCGTTTATCCTTTATATGACATTCTACAAGCTATTGAGAGGTATGCTTCTCAAACTAATCTCTTTGATCTATAGGACATACTGCAAGCTATAGAGAGGGATGCCTCTCAAGCCAATCTGGAGACTTACTGCTCTTTCTCGGACAGTTACGGTGTGGGAAAGGGAATCGGCATGCATGCTCGACTGGCTAGCATCTCGCGTGCATTTGGAACTCATCATTACCAGGCACTGGACGGGAAAATCAGACATTGTTTGGAAAAATGGCTTCGCATAGACGGTAATGATTCTGAAGGAAAGAATTTCTTCAGGAAATAAACATGCAATGCATGACCTGCAGCCAGTTGTTGCTATATCTAGAAGTACAAGAATAGACGTAGCAGTGCATGTTTGCTTCATTCGTAGTATCCCAATCATTTAACTGAATATTTTTCTTTGGAAGAGATCTAGTTTTAACATGTATTGTTGTACTATATTTCTTAATTGGCTAGACTAATGATTTTCATAAATCAATACCAATTGTGTGCCATCTGTTCTGCAGACTCTCTTCCAGAGAGAAACAGATTCCATTATGACACTGTGTGGGGTGGACTTTTCCTCCGTGGTGAGGATGGGGAGGCACATTTTTACACAGACTATGGCTTTCCCTTCTACAATGACCACCACTTTCATCTAGGGTACTTCCTTTATGCCCTCGCCTATTATGTGCGGCATGACAAGGCCTGGGCTCAGCGTACGTTATTTGTCATTTTGGATGCCATTTTAAAATTATCTTTATTAATTCAATTTTCGAATGTCTGTAAATTTTGGAACATTAAAAAAGTTCAATATCGTGATTGATAACTCTCTGATTAAGATTCATTTGGCTGTATTCAGCAGCTCTGAATGTCTTCCTTTTTTATCCATATTAAGAACACCGACAGAGAATATATGCCTTGGCACGAGATGTCGGTAACCCTAGTTACAAGGACAAATTTTTCCCCGTGGTACGCCATAAGGATATTTACATGGGAATATCGTGGGCAAGTGGTGTGGGACCAGGACTAAGGCAAGAGGAATCCTCCTCAGAGGTGTAACTTTAAGAAAGCAAAGTTTTTATGATCCTTTTGAGATATATACGAAAATCGTTTCTCAAAAAATCGAATCCAGCTACAAAAATGTATGTGTATTATGATGTAATATTGTTACATTAAAGGTTTGAAATTTGTCAATTTAAACTTACTTTTTTTTTTAATTTCTTCAAACTTTTGAGTACCTATTCTAAAGTGAAGTTGAACTATCTATAAATGTAAGCACTTATAAATGAATTATGTCAAAACCAGTACCCTTTCAGTCGTTAAACTGCTACCATGCTCTGGCTGCTCTGGGGGACGCACTGGACGACCCCATTCTGCGGGGGACAGGGCAGGTGATGTTGGCCTTTGAAATTGCTTCTGTTCGGGAATACTATCACGTGCGTGACCACAACTTCAACCAATTCCCAACGATATTGCAGAAGTTTGGTGTAGTCGGTCAGATAGCAGAAGACAGTTTCTATGTCTACACTCTGGATTGGGGTTGTGACCCTAACGTGTTTCCTATGAGGCACGGGTGTTTGGTTGGTATCCAAATCATCCCCATTACAGCAGTATCCAAATACTGGATGGACAAGGTCAGAAAATGATCACTGATTTGTGCGTCATAATATTCTTAATGTTATCAGCGCAGCGCTGTTGCTGTACAGTAATTTCATTTATTTATTTTTTTAAGGATTGGGCAAAACACATCCTGCAGTCTTGTGATTGGGCAATTAATCCGTCACACGCCACTGATTATAACCTTGCAAACCCTAAGGACCTTCGTGACCTTGGGACAGTGAGTAAATATTTAAGTGTGTGGGTACCATTGAGTTTTGATAACATAATTAATTTAATTATCAGAAGGACAATTTTGAAATATGATTAATGAATAAAGAAATGCTTTCTCAGTTTCACCAATTTTGTCTTGTTTATCGAAATGTCGCGTGTATAAGTTATACATGTATAAATATTTCATAAATTTTTGTGTTGTACTAAGATGATATGATTATTTTAACATTTTTTACAAAGCACATAGATTTTTGTTAGTAATGCTTGGCGCGTAACAAGATAAAATTTCACTTCCTCTGTTTATTATATTTTCATAAATTAATCTTTTGTCATTTAGTCTTCACAAGTTTGCATTTTCAGAATTCTCATAACTTCGACAGAGAAGAGAAAATAATTTGCTTTTTAATTAAATTGTTAAATTTATCGGCATACCGACATATTTTCTATATACAGCTTGATGCACATTGTCAGTAAACTTTACTTCGTGGGTATTCTACTGATTATGCTGAGGTGTCAGTCAATTTTGCGGAACTCCTCTGGGTTTATCCCTCAAAAGATACAAAATTTTTGCCCACTAATCCCCTATTATCTATTTGCATTTCGATTCTTTATAGTTTGACAGTTTTCTAAAAAGGTATTAAGAAAAGTTTAATTCCAGATCATAAGTTTAAGAGAAAGAAATTTTCCAATCCTTGTCTATGAAAAAAAATCCTTAGAAATCTGGTTTCCCGCCATATTTTCTATGTATCTTAAATTATGATCACTAACTCATATTTTTCTACTTCGTATTTTGTTTCAAATATCGAATACATCAAATGAGAGTGTCAAAATTGAAAAGTTTAATGAAAGTTATCTCAGCAGAATATATTCTAAATTGTTTAATCTGCAGGGTTGGAAAGCTTTTTGTTATGCCGGTATGGCACCGTATGACGAGTCACACAAAACCGCCGCTGCCAACTATCTGAGAGACAAATACCCACGTGACTTGGTAGGAGGGACAGGTGCAGCTAGTACATTGCTTTTTATATATGAAAGGACCTGAAAAAATAAATCGTTTTTTAAAAATATTTTCTAGTGCGAAATTTTGTATTTTGTAAAAGTCATCTTATTTTTACAACCATTTTTTACCTCCCCTAAATGAAGTTGGGGGCGCTTATTTAATACCGTCGGTGTCCCAGAATAAAGTTTCTTTTAAAAATACTTCTATGCCCTATATTAATCAGAGATGCATGGAAGATGCCAAGTAACTATAAGCCCTATAGCCTTGACCAAACTTGCATGGATGATACATCTAAGGATGCACAAGTTACCAGGCTTGCTTCAGATGCTGGATCTGACCTACACTTTCCGGATGAGTGACCGGGTTAAAATTTTTGGAGCAGGTTCATTCTAAAGTAACTCTAAGCCCTATGTTGACCATGTAACGCCAAATTAACATACATAGAAATATTTGTACCCATCTTCAAATATTTGTATCTATCTTCAAATCAATTGTACTTATCTCCAAATGAATTGAAGATAGGTTTAAGTCAACTATCTTTAATTCATTCGAAGATACGTTCAATTATTTGCACATAGGTACAATTATTTGAAGATAGGTAGAAATATTTGAAAATATGTTAATTTGGCATTCCATAGTTGAACAAACTTGCATGGATGATGCATTTAAGGATGCACACTACCAGGCTTGCTTCAGATGCTGGATCTGATCTATAGTTTCCAGATGAGTGACCAGTTAAAATCATTCTAAAGTAACTAAATGCCCCACCTGGACCAAACTTGCATGGATGATATATCTATAATAAGGACGGACACTAGTGGATTTGCTTTTTAATGCTGAATTTGACCTACATTTTTCAGATGAGCGACCAGGTTAAAGTTTTAGGAGCACTTTCTTTTTAAAGTGACTATAAGCCCTACGCTAACCAAATTTGCGCTGCAGATACATTCATTGATGCACACTACCAGAGTTGCTTTTGATGCGGGATTTGACAAACATTTTCCAGATGAGTTATAACAGGTTAAAGTTTTTGGAACAGGTCCATGACCAGGAAACTATAAGGCCTACCTGAACCAAACTTGCATGGATGATGCTACCAGAGTTGCTTCAGGTGCTGGATTTGACCTATATTTTCCGGATGAGCGTCAAGGTTAAAGTTTTTGGAGCAGGTTCATTAAAGTATCTAGAAGTTTTATGTTGACCAAACTTGCATGGATGATACATCTAAGGATGCACACTACTGGACTAGCTTCGGATGCTGGATTTGACTTACATTTTCTGGATGAGTGACTTGTTAAAGTTTTTATTAGATAAGTCCATTCCCAAGTAACTGCAAGCCCTATCAGACCAAAATTGCATAAATGTAGCATCTAGGGATGCACACTACTAGATTATTAGTTTAGTGTGGGACTTTGCCTTACTTAAAGACAACATTCGTTGAGGTGGGCTCTGTAATCTATGACTACCTATGTTATCTAGCGTGATTTTAAAACCAACACTACGATTGATACCAGGTCTATAGTATGAATCAGCGTGACAATCCTTATTATCAAGATTTTAGAATTCTATAAATATAAAATACTCTGCTGCAGCAATTCGATGAAACTCTCACAGTCTCATTGCATACTGCCAAGAAATGCACTTTGTCATTATCTTCTTATGAGAGCGGGGTTATCATTTCGTGAGCTCAGTGCTCACAATATATACTTCAAGTTTTCACAATTTTTTTTTTTTTTTTTTTTTTTTTTTTTTTTTTTTTTTTTTTTGTGTGTGTGTCTTGAGACCTGGTTGATACACATCTTCAAAGGCTTTTTAAAAAACCTAAATGTAAACCTAAATGCATGCAAGAGATAATATATGTAAAATGAATACACTTAAATGATATCTTAAAATATCTTCTTAATAAATGAATACTACATCGATGTACATGTCTTGAGTTTCTCAATATTAATTAGGAGTGAAACGGTTCACCGCGGTATCGATTCACCGCGGTATTTTTTCTCGGTTTGATACAGGGTACAAAATCTCCATTTTCGGTTCGGTTCATTTTTTGGCCGGGATCCTTATTCAGTCGTGTTTGGTATAAGTAAATCAACGCATAATTTAATTTTTTAAAACGTAAATTTTGAGGACTGAGAGTTTGTAAAATAATCTTTAAGAGTCAAATCATTCTAATTAATTCCCTCTAGTCAATTTGCACGTATATTTAGTGACAGGATTTAGTGAAACAAAACATAAAACAATGTTGAATTTGTTTCCTTCTATCAAAATGTATCGTATCGAAAATAACTGTACCGAGACAAAATCACACGATACGTATCGTATCGTGAAGGAGGCGTTTCACCCCTAATATTAATGTATATTTTTGTCGACTTCTTTATCATCATGAATCGACCTTAGTTGTATTTTTTGAGTTTGTTATAAAGTGATTAATATAGAAAGAATAAAAGTAATTAAATTGTGACTTCATTTGCTTTGATTCCTGAAAAATGTTGTTTTTAAGGGGACGACCATTTGATTCTGAACCGGGGCTGGCAGATTTTGGAAATCAATAATTTTTCCTTAAAAAGGTTCAAAATAAAATAATATGTCCTCAACTGATAAGAAAATAAATAATCTGTCCTTGACTACTTGCACCCCACCACCACGAAATAGAGTTTTGGAGTCCGTTTGACAAAAGAACTTACGACTAAAACCGAAAACTTAAATTGACTGTAAAATTTTGCAAAATAAATGATTTTGTTTAAATTTGCTAGCGTAAAAATATCTTACTACATTCCTTTTAAAAAGATTAAAACTATTTTCAATATAATGTAAATTAAAAATTTACGTCTTAGTCGTATGTTCTTTTGTAAAACTGGCCTCTGACTAGAAAAAAACACTATGCGTTGTTTAATTACCTTTTTAGCTCACCTGAGCCGAAGGCTCAAGTGAGCTTTTCTGATAGAAATTTGTCCGTTGTCTGTCGTCGTTGGCGTTGTCGTAAACCGGGAACTTTTCACATTTTCATCTTCTTCTCCAGAACTACTGGGGCCAAATTCAATCAAACTTGGCACAAAGTATCCTTGGGTGAAGGGGATTCAAGTTTATTCAAATGGGCCACGACCCCCTCCAAGGGGAGATAACTATGAAATAGCAAAAAATAAATTGCATTATTGAAAAATCTTCTTCTCAAGAACCAATGGGCCAGGAAAGATGAAACTCATGTGGAATTATTGTCAGGTAATTCAGATTTGTTCAAATCATGACCCCCGGGGATAGGGTGGGGCCACAATGGACGATCAAATTTTTACATAGGGATATAAAGGAAAAATCTTCAAAAATCTTCTTCTCAAGAACAGCAAAGCTATGATTGGTCATATTTATATGGAAGCATCCTTAGGTGGTGTAGATTCAAGTTTGTTCAAATCATGACCCCCGGGGATAGGGTGGGGCCACAATGGACGACCAAAGTTTAACATAGGTGTATATAGGAAAAATCTTCAAAAATCTTCTTCTCAAGAACAGCAAAGCTATGATTGGTCATATTTATATGGAAGCATCCTCAGGTGATGTGGGTTCAAGTTTGTTCAAATCATGACCCCTTGGTAATATTTATATGGAAGCATCTGCAGGTGGTTTAGATTCAGATTTGTTCAAATCATGACCCCCGGGGGTTGGGTGGGGCCACAATGGACGATCAAAGTTTAACATAGGAGTATATAGGAAAAATCTTCCCGAGAACAGCAAACTTATGATTGGTCATATTTATTTGGAAGCATCCTCAGGTGGTGTAGATTCAAGTTTGTTCAAATCATGACCTCCAGGGGTAGGGTGGGGCCACAATGAAAGTTCAAACTTGTAGAGAAAAAAGTCACAGTTAGTGAAAAAATCATGTAAGCATCCTTAGTAAGTGTAGATTTAATTTTGTTCAAATCATACCCCCCCCCCCCCACTCCCTTTTAGGGGTAGGTTGGGACCACTTATGCATTTAAGCTTTTCAATACTAAACAGATTTTTCCTCTTTTCCTAGCCACAGTGCTCAGGTGAGCTATGTGGCCCATGGGCCTCTTGTTACGGTTGTGGTGGTGAAGAAGAATCGACCATTATTAAATATAGATACATCATGTACATGTAGCAACAAAATAAATTGTTATAATAAACAGATGCATGAAGACTCATATAGGGTATTCTCTATTGAGAAGTTGATGGCTCGTTTTTAAATACTCCCCCTCATTAAAACGAGCCATCAACTTCTCAACATAGGCACTCCCCAGCTTAATTGTTAAAAATATATATCTACTATACTATAAACATAACAAGGCATGAAACTAGCCTCCATGTTGGATTCCGCTTAGGGGCACTTTCTGACTAACAGCGAGAATTTTTCGCCCAAGTCGGACTTTTCTCAGACATCGGAAGCTGTCATTTATTGAAATAAAATCAAATCAAGTTGCATCTTGCAGTACGTTCGTCGCATTCACGCGTTTTCCAACATTTCTCGGCAAACCAGGTCTCCTCGGCCGGAACTTGAAGGTTTATGGGGGTATAGATAATTCGATCGTCGTTTACCTTCAAAGCGCGTCTCATGAATAGCTAACGTTGCTTTTCACAACGAACGAATGTACCGTGAAATAAATATAATTTTACATCAAAAGAACCTTGCAAGATTTTATATACATTTTCAGGCCCATAAAAAGCTGATTCAGTGTGTTTGTGTGTGTGTGTTTGGGGGGGGGGGTTCAACTGAACAACATATTCTTGACAAGAAAAAATATTATTGAAGAAGGACAATCGTAAGTTAGGTTTGTTTTCTATTGCATAGTATTAGTATATTCATGTATTGGCAAATTTATAGGGGCGAAAGGAGGGGGAGGCACTTTTAAGCAGATGAGTCTTCAATACAGAGGTGGATTTGACTGTGTGTGTGTGTGGGGGGGGGGGGGGGGGTAAATGTATAGTAAATGAATATAATAAAATAAAGCGGATATTTGCAGAAGTAAGTTCTGCACGAAAATTGGGAGATATATTGGAAGAAAAGGAAGTATACACAGGGAAAAGACTTGGCTTTTTTTTTTGAATATTCAATGATGGTACAGAGACACCAAAAACAGAATAATACAATTTAGAGGACAATTTGATTCTTAAGGGGGGTAGGCATTTTTTCGAGTCAAAATGTTTATTTTCATGTCATTGAAGGACAGATTATTTATTTCCAAGATGATTAGGGAAAGTTTTTTTTTATTTCTACTACACCAAAAAAAGTGGACAGGAAAAAATAAAGGAAAAAAATGAGAAAATTAGAGTATGTGTGGGGAGCGGAGGTTGGGGTTGGGGTAACCATCACTCAAAGTCAAATAATTTACTTTCTTCCTAGTGGAAAATAGATTTTTTTTCAACATTTTCAAGGACAGATTTTTTTCTCCAAAATCTACCAGAACCTATCAGAATCAGATAGTTGTCCCCTCAGAATTACGCATCACGAATTGAATCCTTTACTGTAGTTGTCATGTGCAAATTCACACTTTATAATCTTGCACATGAAGAAATTAATAGTTTAGCACTTTGTGTATATGTTTGTGTTGATATGTGGTCGTCGCAGTGAAATCAGCGCGGGGTGGGGCCTAGGAACTTCATTGTAATGACATATACGTAGTAAACTAGTCTATTAAATGACTCCTGATCTAGTTGCCTTTGCATTTGTTAACTGGACTGAAGCTAGTTTTTAGTCAAAACTAATGCCATACGTGCTATCATTCTCAGTGGAACACTGTAATAAAATCGACAAAGAGTGAGCTGATGAAGTTAGTTTCAGCTTTGTAAATGCTAACGGTGATGTAAACATGCCAAAATATATGTTTAGAAATAATTACCCTTACAAAATATTTAAAATATCCAAACCACTTATAATATTTTAGCGAGATTTTTGAACTTGTTATTAAACTTTAGAACTATCCCATTTTATTATAGTATCTCTGTATATGAATCCATCTATAAGAATAAGTCCCGCGATCAGGATAAAATATACAGGTACTTGTGTATATATTTATTTTGCAATAAAAGTAATACTTAATACTTTACATATATGTAAGTAACATACTTTCCAGAGACGAATCCGGGATTTCAAAAGGGGGGGGCAAAAAGATTAAATGGCAATAGAAAGTCAAAATACTTGTAGTAAAATTAGTATTAAAGCATAAGTTTTATCAAGACTTTCTTTTATATTGAATATTTCCCCCATTTTCTTTTTTTTTCTTAAAAAATTGAAAGGGGGTGACCCCCCCCCCCCCGATAATTCTGCTACTGTCTTCAAGACTGCATATATATATATATATATATATATATATATATATATATATATATATATATATATATATATATCTGGTATACATCCGCTTTATTTTATTATATTTATCTACTATACCCCCCCCCCCCCCGTCGAATCCACCTCTGTATTGAAGACTCATCTGCTTAAACGTGCCCCCCCTCCTTTCGCCCCTATAATTTTGCCAAAACATGAATATACTAATACTATGCAATAAAAAAACAAGCCTAACTCACGATTTTCCTCCTTCAATAATTATTTTTTCTTTTCAAAGAATTGTTGTTCAGTTGAACCCCCCCCCCCCCAAACACACACACACAAACACACTGAAACAACATTTTATGGGCCTGAAAATGTATATAAAATCTTGCAAGGTCCTATTGATATAAAATTATATTTATTTCACGGCACATTCGTTCGTTGTGAAAAAAAGTTAACTTTCCATGAGACGCACTTGAAGGTAAACGACGATCGAATTATCAATACCCCCATAAACCTTCAAGTTCCGGCCGAGGAGACCTGGTTTGCCGAGAAATGTTAGAAAACGCGTGAATGCGACGAACGTACTGCAAGATGCAACTTGATTTGATTTTATTTCAATAAATGACAGCTTCCGATGTCTGAGAAAAGTCCGACTTGGGCGAAAAATTCTCGCTGTTAGTCAGAAAGTGCCCCTAAGCGGAATCCAACATGGAGGCTAGTTTCATGCCTTGTTATGTTTATAGTATAGTAGATATATATTTTTAACAATTAAGCTGGGGAGTGCCTATGCTTCTCAATAGAGAATACATTTAGGGCGGAAAGGGTATAAAAGAGATGGCGGGATAGGAACAAAAAACAAAAATAAACAAACAAAATAAAAACATAAGCAATTAAAGCTTTCAAATGCCCTGTAAAGACTTAATTAAGATCATCGAATTTTTTTTAAAATAGTGTATTCCGCCTCTCCCGGATTATTTTCCGAGTCCTATTCGATTTTTACATTGCTGTACTTTCGTTTTAGTTTCACATCGTGACAGATGAGTGTAAGAAGATCCAATTTCTGGTTTATTCTACTTGAAATCATTGGTCAATGACTTTTTGATATTCATGTAAACCACTGGTCTTCCTCCGATTTCACTCATGGCTGGCGACGAATGGAAAAATGCTATTCGACGAAATTACTCCTACTTCAAAAACAACATTGCAGATCCTCTTGATGTTGTAGAATATCTCTACGGGGAGATAACCCCTCCAGTCCTTACTGACAACCAGAAAGAGCAAGTAAAGGTATATTTAGAATATAATTATAGTACACAAGGTAAACTTACCATTTTTAAAAGAATCGATTTTGACGACTTTGAAGTCCGAGTGTGTCTAGCTCTTTTGTTGGAAGCTATTATATTCGGTTTTGAGTTTGAAGTACCCGATTCTTTCATTAACCCTATCGGTCTCTCATGACAAACCATTAGGTACTTGGTCAGTAGACGGTTTTTGGAATGGAAACTGATTATCATTTTATGGATGTTTACTGGGTGTGTACTAATGGCATTCATACATTAAGTCTTTCCATTGGTACCAATGTCATCACTTTTTGCATTATATGCAGTGTTCGAAATTCAGAATTATTTTCTATGGGTCCAAAGGACCCACAGATAAAGGGACTACATGAGTCCTGCTGAGGCAGCATAGGCCCAAAAATAATATACCATCAAATATTTGGGAAAAATAAACGTTTACGTATTGATGATCTCGGTAAGTTTATTGCTTCATATGAAATATGTCAATTTAATGAAGGTTATCTACAACTCGCAAGTGTAACAATATGAAATGGTAAAACAGCCTTACTTGGTCTTATATAATATTAATGAGTTTAACATGTTTATAATACTGTAAACCTACTTTTCATCGGAATTAAACATGTTAAAATTTGTTTTTAAAATCTGCGTGTACAAAATTATGCAAGTTTCTTAGACTGCCACAATATGCTGATAAAATGTACTTACGTATACTTGGACAATTTTCCGTGGAAAGTTTGTAACCACATAAATATGGCGTAAATTTATTCAACGCAGGAAAAAATCATATCTTCAGTATTTATTTAAAATGCACATAAAAAAAAGAGAATTGATACGATCTTAATAAAAATAAGTTAAACATTTTACCCTCTTAAGTCCTATTTCTTTTAAAGACGCTCATTTGATAATTTGTTTAATATATCTAATTAAAATGCAGGAAAGATATAACAGTTAATGTAAATGCATAAACCAATATACATTAACTTCAACCACAACTTCTTAAGCTCTCCAACAAGTGGTAAAGAAAAGCAACGGTGTATCGCTAATCTTGAACACTGATTATATGTCAAAACATATACAGTCCCCGAAATGGTCTACTTTCTGACTTGAACATTGAGTGAATGGTGAGCAAACAATGAACAAAAGCAGAGCAAACAATGAGTGAACGATGTGTGAATGCTGAATGCAACTTGATGAACGGTAAGTGAACAGTGAGTGAACGCAGAGCATGAACGCTAGCAAATAGTAAACAATGAATGCAAGATAAACAAGATATTTGGAATGTCTCAGGTGTTTTCCTCATACTGTACTTATTCCATAATGAAGGCATAATCAGACAAGAAAAAAAGTAAATTGAAAAATAAAGAAATAAAGGCTAAAGTTCATGAAATGGCTGGGGCATTTAGTGTTACACATGTATCTGTTTTACCTGCAATTTTTGTCCATCATTTCAACCACAGGGACTTGAGACAATCTTAGCAAAATCGGGTATACTATATCCCTGATTTTGCTAAGATTGTCTCAAGTCCCTGTGATTCCAACATAGTTAATTTTCCAGGCTATTTTTTTTTTTTATTTTGCTGTGTTTGTAGATAATGCAAGCACATTATCACAACATGATAATGTCTTGCGGACTAGAGAAATAACTAATCAGCTGATTCAGAATTTAGGTGGGTTTATAAATTATTGTTGACTTGCAGATCAAATTCATGTTTCATGTTGATTGACTTATTTTCACCAAAGTTATTGACTAGGACTAAGTATTTTTGCATTCTGTCATTCCATAATAATTAGTTTTTAGCTCACCTGAGCTGAAAGATCAAGTGAGCTTTTCTGATCAACTGTTGTCCATCATCTGTCCGTCCGTCCATCTGTAAACATTTCACATTTTCAACTTCTTCTCAAGAATCACAGGGCCAATTATAAGCGAAGTTGGTACAAAGCATCCTTGAGTGAAGGGGAGTTTAAATCATTAAAATGAAGGGCCAAACCCCTTTACAAGGGGATATAACCAAGAAAAGACAAAAATAGGGTGGGGTCATTAAAAAATCTTCTGAAGAAGAACCTCTGGGCCAAAAAAATCATGAAACTTATGTGGAAGCATCCTGGGGAAGTGCAAATTCTAGATTCATTGGCTCTCGGGAGTAGGTTGGGGCCACAATAGGGAATCAAAGTTTTACATTGAAATTAGGGCTGTCACGGTTCCAAAATTTTTCGGGTCGGGTCGGTTCTGTAAATTTTCGGTTCGGTTTCGGGTTTTTCGGGTCGGGTATTTACATCTATTTTAAACCTTAATTTCATGAATTTAACTTGAAAAATCTTTATTTGTTACATTAAATTTACATTGAAAACAAGTTTTAACCATGTGAACGTCTAGACACCGGTGACTTGGCCTACTATTAGCCACAACCTGACCATTCCTGCTCGTTTTGATAATTATCTAATACTTCCGTGACAAGTGTTTTGTCATGGAATGAAGTAGATTTCAGTTGTGATGTTTATTTATCACTGTTATCGTCATCATTCCTTTGATTTCGACGCCATTTTTTGTATGGAACAGACTCTAATATATAAACCAGACCCGAACCGAAATCCGGAAAAATGGAACCGGAACCGAACCGAACAACTTGGACCGCGGTTCTCAGTTATTTCGGGTACTCGTGACAGCACTAATTGAAATATATAGGAAAACTCTTGAAAAGTCTTCTTCTCAAGAATCACTGGGCCAGAAAAGCTGAAACTGATGTCAAAGCTTCCTGGGGAAGTGTAGATTCTAAATTGTTCCAGTCATGACCCCTGGGGATTGGGTGGGGCCACAATAGGGAATCCAAGTTTTACAATAAAATATATAGGAAAAATCTTTAAAAATATTCTTCTCAAAAACCACTTGGCCAGAAAAGCTGAAAATTATTTGGAAGCTTGCTGAGGTAGTTTAGATTCTTAATTGTTCAGAGCATGTCCCCCAGGGGTAGGGTGGGGCCACAATAAGTATTACAACACAAGGGGGAAAATCTGGTGAAGAACAGCTGGGCCAAAGTTACTCAGGTGAGCGTTGTGGACCATGGGCCTCATGTTGGACTTTTTTTGGCTGTGCTTGTAGAAATTGAGATGATTTTTGGTGTTCAAGTCTCTGTCTATTAATGACCCACAGATGAAGTTTCACATTGATTAACCCATAAATTTGCCTTTTGACTTTGAATTTCTTATTTTTTTATAGTTTTCCAGACATTTTTATACCCCTGCTCTGAAGGAGAGGGGGGTATACTGTTTTACCCTTGTGTGTCTAGCTGTCTGTGCATCTGCGTGTCTGTCTGTAACAAATTTTTTGTCGCAGTTTTCTCAGCATCTACTCATCACAGATGATTGAAATTTTAGCACACTCTTTGTGTAGGCATGCCATATGGTTGGAATAATTTTTTTTGGAATCCGAAGTCAACTTCCTGTTATTCTGTGCATCTGTCCATACCTAATTTTCGTCATAGTTTTCTCAGCAACTACTCAATGCAAATGCTTGAAATTTTAGCACAATCTTTGTTTAAGCATGCCATATAGTGGGATTCATTTTTGTTCAAATGCGATGTCAACTTCCTGTTTATCGGTGCATCTGTCTGTACCAAATTTCCATCGCAGTTTTCTTAGCAACTACTCAGCACAGATGCTCGAAATTTAAGCACAATCTTTGTTAAGGCATGCCATACTGTAAACCAACTATTTTTCGCGTCAACTTTTATTTGCGATTCGTCAGTTTGAAAACAATCCACGAGGATTAATTTTCACGACTGAGGAAACTTTCTCTACAAATACAAAGCAAAATAAATGGTTCGCGGCGATTATTATTCGCGAGTTAAAATAGGTCGTGAAACTCGCGAATATTTCTCGCACGCAAATAAAAGTTGGTTTACAGTATATTGGGATTCATTTTTGTTCGAATTTGATGTCAACTTCCTGTTTATCCGTGTGTCTGTCAGTACCAAATTTCTGTCACAGTTTTCTCAGCAACTGCTCAGCGCAGATGCTTGAAATTTTAGCACAATCTTTTTTTAGGCATGCCAAATGGTGGGATTCATTTTTGTTTGAATTCGATGTCAACATGAGAGTGTATATTCACATCACAGCGGGGGTATTACTAGTGAGCATTCGTTCACAGACTTCTTGGACTTCTTGTTTGCTGTGATTGTAGATAATGAGCTGATTTTTGGTATGTCTCTAACTCTCTACATATTTTAAATAACATAATTAAAGGTCTAGTTCACATTTCATATCCACAATATTGATTGACCCTTTTTCATGAAAAGTATTGCCCTGAGACTTTAAAACTTCCTAATTACATGTATTCATTGTTTTTCTGGACTCCCCCCCCCCCCCCCCATTGCCGTTGACCACCCCTGGACTTGCAGATGAAAGTCCTGCCAAGGGCTAATAAGAACTTGGGTTGTGTCTTCAAGGGCAAAGACAATTTAAGGAGGGAGGAATGTAGTGGTCTGGGCTGTGGATATTGGCCTGGGTAGCTCAGTCGGTAGAGCACCTGACTAGTGATGCAGGGGTCCTGGGTTTGATTCCCAGTCCAGCCATACATTTTCTCCTTTCCTGTTACACACGTATAGTTGATTTTTCAATTTCTTGCAGCTAAAGTATGATGTGGTACCCAGAACTTATGATTCAAGAAAACAAAACACAGTATGACATTCTACTTTTGTTTCATTTCTACCTTATTTTCACATATTTGAAATTTCAAATACATGTATTTAAAAATTGTCAGTGGGGGCATTTGTGTCACACTAACTGTCATTTAGTTTGTAAATGATAACACATAACCTAATTATTGGCGACCTGTCATGTCATATACAAATTTCATATGGAGATAAATTAGAATGCAATATTAACATGATTAATGATATTTTGAATCCCAAGTTGCATTTTAAAGGGCATCTGTCTTGTTTACTTTTTTAATGTGTAGGTTATTAGAGGGTTATCAAAACTATTCATAGTTTCATTCTGTGGAATAGTTGATACATCACAATCATGCAATATCATCTTAAGTAGTTTCCTGTTACAGTGAAATATGAAGATAATGAACAGTAATCAAGCTCAAAAGTCCATTGAAACAATGCAAATATTGAGCAGAGCAAATATGGACCTCACATCAGAGGAAGGGTCAGGTGCCATGGAGGAGTAAGCATCCCCTGTTGATCTGTCACACCTGCCGTGTGCTCCTTGTCGTGTTTGAGCGCACAGAAAAATCTCTAGACAATTCAATGTGAAAATAATAACATACATTTTGTAAGAATTTTTATGAAAAATTTCAGTCAACATTTGACTTAATGATTAATTGTATTTACTGACAAGGCTTACAACTAAGAAATATTATAAAATTTGTTTCATTACTGATGAATATATATGAAATAAAAACTTTTCATGGTTCAAAAGGCAGAAAATACCACATCTAAGAGAGTTGGTAAGATGCTGGACATTTTGCTGAGACGTGGACCCAGAGTGCCCCAGTATTTGTACCAGGCATTTATGGAGACGTCCAATCCAGAATGTGCAGAGAAATTGGCCCCGTATCTGTTACAGCAGGAGAAAGAAGCCCTCAGGAAAGATCCTTCAGGTAATTAAGTTAATGTAAGAAATGGCTCCAAAATTAGTACAAATGCTGATTGATAGTTCTAAACGAGGTGTTGTTTGAATTTTAGGTAGGAAGTGATCTATACTTCTGTAGTCTGTATAGCCTCTACACATGCAACCTATTCTGTGTATGCATGACTACCAGAATTTTTTTTTTAGCTCACCTGAGCTGAAAGCTCAAGTGAGCTTTTCTGATCACATTTTGTCCGGCGTCCGTCTGTCTGTCCAGCTGTCTGTCTGTAAACTTTTCACATTTTTGACTTCTTCTCAAGAACCACTGGGCCAATTTCAACCAAACTTGCCACAAAGTATCCTTGGGTAAAGGGAATTCAAATTTATTCAAATGAAGGGCCACGCCCTCTTTCAAGGGGAAATAATTAGGAATTAGTGAAAAAATAATGGCATCATTTAAAAATCTTCTTCTCAAGAACCATAGGGCCAGGAAAAATGAAACTCATGTGGAAGCATCTTCAGGTAGTGTACATTCAAATTCGTTCAAATCATGACCCCCAGGGGTAGGGCGGGGCCACAATGGAGGATCAAAGTTTTACATAGAAATATATAGGAAAAATCTTTAAAAATCTTCTCAAGAACAGCAAAGCCATGATGAGTCATGTTTATATGGAAGCATCCTCAGGTAGTGTAGATTCAAATTTGTTCAAACCATGACCCCCGGGGATAGGGCGTGGTCACAATGGAGGATCAAAGTTTTACATAGAAATATATAGGAAAAATCTTTAAAAATCTTCTTCTCAAGAACAACAAAGTCATGATGAGTCATATTTATATGGAAGCATCCTCAGATAGTATAGATTTAAGTTTTTTTCAAATCATGACCCCCGTGGGTAGGGCAGGGCCACAATGGAGGATCAAACTTTTACATAGAAATATATAGGAAAAATCTTTAAAAATCAAAAGTTGAACATAGAAATATATAGGAAAAATCTTCTTCTCAGGAACAGCAAAGCCCAGATTGTTCATATTTATATGGAAGCATCCTCAGGTAATGTAGATTCAAATTTATTCAAATCATGACCCCCGGGGGTAGGGTGGGGCCACAATGGAGGATCAAAGTTTTACAAAGAAATGTATAGGAAAAATTTTAAAAATCTTCTTCTCAGGAACAGCAAAGCCCTGATTGATCATATTTATGTGGAAGCATCCTCAGGTAGTGTAGATTCTATTTTGTTCAAATCATGACCCCGTGGATAGGATGGGGCCACAATGGAGGATCAAAGTCTTAAATAGAAATATATAGGAAAATATCTTCTTCTGAAGAACTGCAAACCATGATGAGTCATTTTGATATGGAAGCATCCTCAGGTAGTGTAGATTCAATTTTGTTCAAATGATGACCCCCAGAGGTTGGGTGGGGCCCAATTGGGGGATCGAAAGTTTTACATAAGAACATATAGAAAAATATTTCTTCTCAAGAACAGGAAAGCTATGTCTAGTCATATTGATATGGAAGCATCCTCAGGTAGTGTAGATTCAAGTTCAAATGATGACCCCTGGGAGGAACCACAATGGGGGATCAAATTTTTACAAAGGAATATATGGGAAATTTTTTTTTACAATCTTCTCAAGTACAACAAAGCCATTTGTTATATTGACATGGAAGCATCATCAGGTAGTTTAAAATTCAAGCCCCCCCCCCCCCCCCCCCCCCCCCCGGGGTAATCTTTTCAATACTTAACTGATTTGTGCTTTTGCCTAGCCAATGTGCTCAGGTGAGCGATGTGGCCCATGGGCCTCTTGTTATTTTTAGCTCACCTGAACCACTGACTCAAGTGAGCTTTTCTGATGAAATAATGTCCATCTGTCTAATCTATCTAATGTATTGTCTGGTTAGTATGTACACTTTTTTTTTTTTGACGTTTTCAATTTCTTCTCCAAAACCACTGGCCCAGTTTCAACCAAGCTAACCACCAGCATCATTGTGTAAAGGGGATTCAAGTTTCTTAAAATGAGGAGTCACATGCTCTTTCAACATGTTCAAGGAAAGTTAGTTAAAGGACTTTCATAATAATTTCAAAAATTTGACATATGAATGTTTATATACTGTTTTTCATGTAAACATCCACCATTTCTCTATACAAATGTGTCAAAAACAGCTGTCCAAGAATTGAAATGCAATTGCACATTAGAGTTTTGTGTCATATATAACTTAATAACTGGTGCATGCAGACTTTTCCGTAGAATCTGGTCTAATAAACCTCCATTATATGTTTTCTGCATGGACACAAATAACTAGCATTATAATGTATTCATTCTGCTAAAAAAATTGGATTTGTATGTGTATTAAGGTAGTCTGTTCATGAGGTTCTTAAAAAAGCAGTTAAGTAATTGAAAATTCACACAAAAATGTCTCTGAAGTCTCAAAGTAATGTGTATTTACCCATGGTATTTCTTCAAAAAAGCAACAGAAGCATCCAAAAAAGACCCAAAAATGGGTGTTAAGTGCAGTCATCCTTTGATTTCTCCAAAAAACCTATTAAATTTTTTTCTTCTGTGTGGTGCAAAATTCAACTTTTTACAAGTTCAAAGAACCTTGAATCATATTGAGATGCATGAAATTAAAATTACTGCATGAAAAGATTTCAATTTCAAGCTTCAGTTTTTAAATAATTTTTTTTTCTGGGTTGAAAACCTGATAGAGGGCTCGGCAAGCCTCACCCTCTATCATGTTTTCTTACCCTCGCCCAAATATCACTTATATTTCAAGACAGTATCCATGTATTTTATATATATAGGGATATAAATTAATTATATAATAATAGTTATTATTGATATGCAAGCATGTTGTGTTGGATCAAGTGTTTGGTTCAAATCTCATGAAGCAAAGATTGGTCTACAAAAAGGGATGCAAATTTTTGCAAGGAAATACAAATGTATGTCTGAAAGAAATCTGTAAAAACCATCTAATATGCTTAAAGAACAGCTGCAGCTCAAATTAGTCGAGAAAAGGTTAAGCAACCTATGTAGAATAGATGTATATACTTCGTCAAATCATGGCCCTGGGAAAACAAATAGAACACAACTAGAGGGTCAAAGATTTATATGCCATTGGGAATAAAAAGGGGAAATCTTGAAAAATCACCTTCTTAAGGAAAACATGACAATTTTTCATATTGATATGCAAGCATCCCCATGTAATATACATGTACATGTAGATCTATCAAAGTGTGGCCTTAGAGACTAGGGTGGATTCAGTTGGTTATCAAAGTTTTGAACAAATGGGCTATACATGTATATATGTTGACATTGGCATGGACAAAAAAGCATGGACTTTAATTTGGTGACCACAATAAGAGGTTTCATTTTCTTACATGTACATATTATTAGTCAGAAATGCATGGTGACTCAGGTGAGCATTTTAGCCTCTAGCTGTGACTCGGTAATCTACTCATACTCAGCTGAACTAGAAAAGCCAGTGAGTTAAGATCAAAGTACTTTTAAAAAATGGTAAAAGGTCAAAATGGCATTTACCACTTTATGAGAATTGTATTTTATAACCCATTCCTGTTTTTTTTATCTTTACCTACACAGAATGGCCTCCACCTCAGGAAGAACACAGAGCAATGGCCAAAGACCATGTGACCTATCTACGGCCTAATGACCCCTGTTGTTACATGCAGTATGATTCAGATGAGGTATGAGTTTGTGCATGCACTCAACTATGTAGGGAATCCATGTTTAGTAAATTGGCCAATAGCCTCATTCATTACCATTATCTCTCCTTAGTGTCAGGTCTTAATGGTACATATAAAGAGTGAAGGATTATGTCATGTTAACACACCTTCAGATGAAAATTCTTCATTAAGAATAACAATATTCAAGTTCATTTAAAGGGACATAGACACAGATTTGAAGTTAATATTTTCTCAAATTTTCAGTATAATATCATGACTTGTATGTTGCTATAGCATTTCACACGGAAATATAATTTAAAAACTTATTTTATCTGGAAATTATTGAAACTACGAATTTCGGGACGCATTTGATTGACACATCCTTGCACTTTCACAAAGTAAACTTTATCCTTAATACTTAAAAAAAAGTAGAAATTTTGTTGTTGTATTAATGAAAAAAATTAAAGAAATAATCCAGAAAATTCAGAGTAGAAATGTGAGGAGGCAAAACCAACTCACAAGTGTTGTCAGTCCGTGCTCAGAGCTAGATGTGTGCAGAGTTTAACAAATTGAACACACCCGGTGAAACGTAAACATTAACAATAACAGACATTCAGATGTCTCAAAGTTTTTTTTGTCAGTCCCACAATTTATGATAAAAGTTTAACATGAGAATCTGCTGATGAAGAGCTATAATTACTCAGGTGAACTTTATTGCCCATGGGTTTCTAGTTCCCTTCTAAATTAAAAATTTTATATATGTTTTGTAAGTAGCATTTGAAACCATTGCAAGATATATATCACAGATGACTATCAATTTAGCTTCATGCTAATCAGCGTTTGTGTTTGAGGGAAATATAATTGCTTGAAATTTCATTTGTCTTTTTAGCTCACCTCGACAAAGTCGAGATAGCTTATGCTATACCCCCGGCGTCAGTGTTGGCTTAGCGTCAGCGTCCCTGTTAAAGTTTTAGGAGCAAGTCCCATTCCCAAGTAACTATTAGCCCTACCTGGACCAAACTTGCATGGATGATGCATCTAGGGATGGACACTACCACACTTGCTTGGATGCTAGTTCTGACCTAGATTTTCCAGATGAGTGACCAGGTTAAAGTTTTTGAAGAAGGTCCATTCCCAAGTAACTATAAGCCCTACCTGGACCAAACTTGCATGGATGATGCATCTAGGGATGGACACTACCACACTTGCTTCGGATGCTGGATCTGATGTAAATTTTCCAGATGAGTGACCAGGTTAAAGTTTTTGGAGCAGGTCCATTCCCAAGTAACTATTAGACCTACCTGGACCAAACTTGCATGGATGATGCATCTAGGGATGGACACTACCACACTTGCTTCGGATGCTGGATCTGACCTAGATTTTCCAGATGAGTGACCAGGTTAATGTTTTTGGAGCAGGTCTGTTCTCAGGTAAGTATAAGCCCTACCTTGACCAAGCTTGCATGGATGATGCATCCAAAGGATAGACACTACCACACTTGCTTCGGATGCTGGATCTGAGCTAGATTTTCCACATTTGAGACCAGGTTTAGATTTTGGAGCAGTCCCGTTCCCAAGTAACTATAAGCCCTACCTGGACCAAACTTTCATGGATGATGCATCTGGGGATGGACACTAACCAACCTGCTTCGGATGCTGGATCTGACCTAGATTTTCTACATGAGTGAATTTTAGACATATTTTAACCAAATAAGCATGGATGATGTATCTAGGGATGGACACTACCAGACTTGCTTTGGATTCTGAATCTGACCTACATTATCCAGATGAGTGACCAGGGTTTTTTTTTGTTGTAGGTATATAATATTATGGCCTGTTATGATTAAACTTTCATAGATGGTGCATCTAAGGATGAAAACTTCCAGACTTGCTTTGGATGTTGGAACTGATCAAAATTTTCTTGATTACTAAACAGGTTAAAAGTTTTTTGAGCTGGTCTATTTCCAAGTAACTACAAGTCCTACTTAAACCAAACTTGCAAGGATATTGATCTTTGGATGTTCCCTAACTAGAAAAAAAATATGATGTGAAATTTGCCTTACTTATAGATAACATTCGTCGAGGTGAGCTTCGTAATCTTTGATTACCTTTGTTTTTTTTTATATTAGGAACAATTTATCAACTACATATATTTACAAGGCCATTTCAAAGACTTCAAACTACCTTGAATCATACTTAATAGCTTGAAATGAAAATTGTTGCTTGAAATTGAAATTTCAATATTTAAACAATATGAGCTGCATTTTTGAGAATTTTATTTTGCTGTTAAAATGTGCTCTTATGATAAATCTGTATGTAATTATATCCTTCATGATCAATTAGACTAAAATAAATTATTAATTTTTTTCTAGAAGAAAGATTTCTGTACAATGGGATGTGTAGTATTACTTAGAATCAATATTGTACAGGACGACAATATAATGTAATTCTGCTTCAATCAAAGCTTATAAATAGTTCTTCCATCCCAAATATAAGCAACAGAAGTTTATAAATGTTCTTTTTTCTGTCATTGAAATTGTTAATTACAATTTTGCAACAAAAATTTTTGCCATCCAAGTTGCAGCTCATATTGCTTTAAAACTTCATTTTTAGAATTATTCCAATGAATTATAATTTCAGGAGTTATTGTTCCTGCTGAAAAGCTGACATCCTTAAAAGTTCTTTTTAAATTTAAGGTGTATAGTATGAAAAGGGAACGTCGAGGATTAGTGTTCATTATCAATAATGAACAATTTCTCCCAGGCACCAACTTGTCTAACAGATTTGGAACAAAATTTGACAGAGACAACCTTAAAAATTTATTTAAAGGTCTCCACTTTGAAGTAATTGTAAAAGACAATTTGACAGGAAAGGTGAGTTGTCACATGTATATTTGTATCCCTTTTAACAAGAGTTTTACCATAGCTTTATTGTCTGATTCTCTTTTTCTTAACTCATTAGTAGGAGAAAAATTGTTACAAAATCATAATGATTACACAGCCCACTACCAAAACTGTGAAATTCTTGTCCACCTGATCCAGATTAAGGCCCTAGAATGGGACTAATTTTGCAAAATACATTGCACGTTTAACAGTTTATTTTTCTTTCATCAAACACATTTAGAAAGCAATTTTTTGGCATTAATACTATAAGCTGTTTTCCCTTTAACAGAAAAAAATGAAAAAAAAAAAAAGGTGAAGCAAATTCATATCCCCTGAACCCAGAGGTCATGCCCTATGGTAGGACTATGTTTACTTAGTTATTAGTCATATAATGTATTATACATACATGTATACATGTACTTAAAAAAATCCTTAATGTTGGACATTTAGCAAGCAAACTTTTTCAATTCCAATAGCTCAGGGAGCAAAGTGGGACCCAATTGATCATATATTGAAACATTACATTGTTTATCTGTTAAAATCAGCTTTAATCATGAGAACGTATGTGTAGGTGACACGAATAGCATGCAAAATGATACATGTAATTAAAAAAAATCTGCCAATTTGTAAAATTCCTATGACTGAAGATCATCTGTACAAAGTCAATTTTAGTGCATGAAAAGGAAAAGGCTTTTTTATTGTCTGATACATAGGAAACTTAATATTCATGTATAATGCAATCATGACTGCTTCCTATATCAAATGGAATTAAAATCATGTTCAGTTTTCCTTGGAAGATATTAATTTTTAGTGTTGATATCAGCTATTTCCTTACAGAGGTTTCTATCCTTTTTTCTGCATAGAGAAACGGATTCAAAAAGAAAACAAAACAAAAAACTTCATTTTGCATCTCTAATTTTTTTTGGTCTTTTCTAGGAAATAATTGATGAAACCAAGTATGTAAGTCTGAGTGATAAGATAAAGGACAGTGACTGTTTTATCTTAATTATTCTGACTCATGGTGATGACCAGGGAGTGTGTGGTATTGATGGAGTTTCTGTCCCAGTGACAACACTTACAGAAATGTTTGAACCCAACAACTGTCCAGATCTTAATGAAAAACCAAAAATATTCTTAATTCAGGCATGTCGTGGGGGTGAGTTTTTTTGTGTCCATAATTCCATGGTGTCCTCTAACTACATATACTGGAGAATGTCTTTATTTTCCCATCATGGACCCTAACTGCCCCAATTTTACAGAACATTGTGCAGGAATCTTACCTGGTAAAATACAGGTACATGTGTAGGTGGGAGAGACCATCTGGGTTAAGGGTAATATCCCTATATATTAGGGTAATTAATATTTAGGGTAATAATTAATATGTTATATTAATCTCTTGACTCTCAAAAGTAGGTAAATCAAGAAAATACACATATTTTTCATGATAAACTTTACTGCAATCTATAAAAAAAAAATATAATGTTTCTTTTGTGTCAATAATAAGAGAAATTCCAATTGTCCCATGGGTGTTATTATCAAGAAATGGTCTTATTGTGTTTCAGGGACAATTTTGATAGCAGACAAATTGCAGTTTGTCAAATTAGAGATTTTAAAATTATTGAGTTTAGTGTTAGGAGATATTCCTGGTAGAGCATCTCTGATCCAGCAGGTGTTTTCTACATCTCTTGGGAATTGGGCAGTGGAATCTGGCTTTTTATTTGTAATATATAGTACCGTATAGCAGGTTATTTTAGCGGGGTGCAAATTTTGGCTTATTTTAGCATTTTATTAGTAGCCCGCTAAAATTTTAATTGCTAAAATATCCAGTATTCTTTTTGGTGTTATTTTGCAAAGTGTTCGAACCCTGTGTCCACTAAAATAAATTATGCCAAAATTTTTATGCTTTTGAGCAAGCAAAATGCCCAATTTTAAACCCACCAAGAAAACCTGCTACGTATATGGTATCTGTCAAATTAAACAGTTCTTGTTAGTAAGCCTCTACTTTAAAAAAAAAATTGGTTAAGTTTTAAAAGTTAATTTGATATTGTATAAAGTACTGTAGATTCCTTATTTTATGCAAGTACTTAATATCGCGAAATGGTTCATTGCTGCCAAATCGCGAGAACAATAAATCGCGAGTGGCCGATTCATCAAGAGATTTTACATGGATTTCAGCCCCATAAAAATAAAAGCGAGTAATTTTATTCCGCGAGTGGTGTTTCTCGCGTAATTACACGATAATTAATTCCTTGCGTATATTTAGGAATCTACAGTAATATTCTTATTTTCATTTTTTATATCTCAACAACAAATTATAGAGTGTCATGTCTTACTAAGATGTTAGTTTTACAGTCTAAGAATAAACATAATGGTATAGTGTTTTGATGTTTTATTCAGCTTTGTTCTTCATTGATTTCATAAAAAATACAGTGAACAAAGCTGCAGATGGATACTAATGTAAAATTCTAAAACAACCATTTGAGAAATATTGATGTTAATTATTTGTTCTAGTTAAAGACTACACCATAGGAGATGCACATCAAACATTAGGAATGGAAAAATCATTGAAATCTTTGTACCAAAATGACATGATTTTCTCCCTTGCACTCTGATCTGTTTATGATAATTAAACGATATTTGACTGGCGTATTATGCACCATGGTGGTGCACTTTATTCAAAATATGAATGTTTTAAATGATGCATTTAATATTAATTCATATTTGACATCACTTTATCAAAGCTTGATATTATTTTTTTTAAGTTTTGATTGAGTATGTCATTATAAATGTTACACAGTTTATAAGACATGAATTGGATTGAGGCCACAAGAAAAAGACCAAACCTAAATGAAAACAACAAGAATTTAAAGTAAAAATGAAAGGTACCTCACCTCTATCCCCCCTATTTTTTTTTTTTAAAACACACACCCTCTCCCCCACACACAAAAAAGCAACATGTATAATTTGTCCTTTTTTAGCTCACCTGAGCCGAAGGCTTAAGTGAGTTTTTCTGATCACATTTTGTCCGTCGTCCGTCCGTCCGTCTGTCCGTCTGTCCGTCCGTCTGTCTGTCTGTCCGTCCGTCTGTAAACTTTTCACATTTTTGACTTCTTCTCAAGAACCACTGGGCCAATTTTGACCAAACTTGGTACAAAGCATCCTTGGGTGAAGGGAAATTTAAATTGTTAAAATGAAGGGCCAAGTCCCCTCACAAGGGGAGATAATCAAGAGAAGACAAAAATAGGGTGGGGTCATTAAAAAATCTTCTTCTCAAGAACCACAGGGCCAGTAAAGCTGAAACTTATATGGAAGCATCCTGGGGTAGTGTAAATTCTAAATTGTTCAAATCATGACCCCCGGGGGTAGGGCGGGGCCACAATAGGGAATCCAAGTTTTACGATGAAATATATAGGAAAAATCTTTAAAAATCTTCTTCTCAAGAACCACTGGGCCAGAAAAGCTGAAACTTATATGGAAGCATCCTAGGATAGTGTAGATTCTAAATTGTTAAAATCATGACCCCCGGGGGTAGGGCGGGGCCACAATAGGGAATCCAAGTTTTACATTGACATATAGTGGAATAAATCTTTAAAAATCTTCTTCTCAAGAACCACTGGACCAGAAAAGCTGAAACTTATATGGAAGCATCCTGGGATAGTGTAGATTCTAAATTATTAAAATCATGACCCCAGGGGATAGGGCGGGGCCACAATAGGGAATCCAAGTTTTACACTGCAATATATAGGAAAAAATCTTTAAAATTCTTCTTCTCAAGAACCACTGGGCCAGAAAAGCTGAAACTTATGTGGAAGCATCCTGGGGTAGTGTAGATTCTAATTTGTTAAAATTATGACCTTCAGGGGTAGGGCGGGGCCACAATAGGGAATCCAAGTTTTACATTGAAATATATAGGAAAAATCTTTAAAAATCTTCTTCTCAAGAACCACTGGGCCAGAAAAGTTGAAACTTATGTGGAAGCATCCTTGGGTAGTGTAGATTCTAAATTGTAAAAATCATGACCCCCGGGGTAGGGCGGGGCCACAATAGGGAATCCAAGTTTTACATTGAAATATATAGGAAAAATCTTTAAAAATCTTCTTCTCAAGAACCACTGGGCCAGAAAAGCTGAAACTTATGTGGAAGCATCCTTTGGTAGTGTAGATTTTAAATTGTTAAAATCATGACCCCCGGGGGTAGGGCGGTCCACAATAGGGAATCCAAGTTTTACATTGAAATATATAGGAAAAATCTTTAAAAATCTTCTTCTCAAGAACCACTGGGCCAGAAAAGCTGAAAGGTATGTGGAAGCATCCTTTGGTAGTGTAGATTCTAAATTGTTCAAACAGGACCCCCTGGGATAGGGAGGGGCCACAATAGGTATTACAAGGGGGGGGGGGAAATCTGGTAAAGAACAGCATGGCCAAAGTTACTCAGGTGAGCGATGTGGCCCATGGGCCTCTTGTTCTTTTTATTTACATAGTTAAGAAAGAGGCTGTAAATCCAGCCAGTAGTTCTGGAAAAGAGGAATCAGTGGGGGATGGAGGAAAGAACAGTTTGGGACAGGACAGTGTTGATGCTGTAGATTCTGATAAATTTGCTGAAGCCAATATATCTGCAACTAAAACTGTTCATTCCAAGGCAGATTTCCTAATTGCTTACTCCACTCCAGAGGGTATATCACTATTGATGTTGTGTATACTTATTGTTTTCACTTTTTTAGCTCACCTGAGCTGAAAGCTCAAGTGAGCTTTTCTGATCACCTGTTGTCCGGCGTCCGTCCGTCTGTCTGTCCGTCTGTCTAGCTGTCTGTCTGTCCATCCGTCTGTAAACTTTTCACATTTTCAACTTCTTCTCAAGAACCACTGAGCCAATTTTAACCAAAGTTGGTACAGAGCATTCTTGGGTAAAGGGGAGTTTAAATTGTTAAAATGAATGGCCTACCCCCCTTACAAGGGGAGATAATCAAGAAAAGACAAAAATTGGGTGGGGTCATTAAAAAATCTTCTTCTCAAGAACCACTGGACCAGAAAAGCTGAAACTTATATGGAAGCATCCTTGGGTAGTGTAGATTCTAAATTGTTCAAATCATGGCCCCCGGGGGTAGGGCGGGGCCACAATAAGGAATCAAATTTTTACATTGAAATATATAGGCAAAATCTTTGAAAATCTTCTTCTCAAGAACCACTGGGCCAGAAAGGCTGAAACTTATGTGAAAGCATCCTTGGGTAGTGTAGATTTTAAATTGTTCAAATCATGGCCCCTGGGGGTAGGGCGGGGCCACAATAGGGAATCAAATTTTTACATTGAAATATATAGGCAAAATCTTTGAAAATCTTCTTCTCAAGAACCACTGGGCCAGAAAAGCTGAAACTTATGTGAAAGCATCCTTGGGTAGTGTAGATTCTAAATTGTTCAAAGCATGGCCCCTGGGGGTAGGGCAGGGGCCACAATAGGGAATCAAAGTTTTACATTGAAATATATAGGCAAAATCTTTGAAAATCTTCTTCTCAAGAACCACTGGGCCAGAAAAGCTGAAACTTATTTGGAAGCATCCTTGGGTAGTGTAGATTCTTAATTGTTCAAATCATGGCCCCGGGGGGTAGGGCTGGGCCACAATAGGGAATCAAAGTTTTACATTGAAATACATAGGCAAAATCTTTGAAAATCTTCTTCTAAAGAACCACTGGGCCAGGAAGGCTGAAACTTATGTGAAAGCATCCTTGGGTAATGTAGATTTTAAATTGTTCAAATCATGGCCCCCAGGGGTAGGGCGGGCCACAATAGGGAGTCAAAGTTTTACATTGAAATATATAGGCAAAATCTTTGAAAATCTTCTTCTCAAGAACCACTGGGCCAGAAAAGCTGAAACTTATGTGAAAGCATCCTTGGGTAGTGTAGATTCTAAATTGTTCAAAGCATGGCCCCTGGGGGTAGGGCGTGGCCACAATAGGGAATCAAATTTTTACATTGAAATACATAGGCAAAATCTTTGAAAATCTTCTTCTCAAGAACCACTGGGCCAGAAAAGCTGAAACTTATGTGGAAGCATCCTTGGGTAGTGTAGATTCTAAATTCTTAAATACATGGCCCCCGGGGGTAGGCGGGCCGCAATAAATATTACAAAGGGGAGGTGTTGGGAAGAACAGCAGGGCCAAAGTAACTCAGGTGAGTGTTGTGGCCCATGGGCCTCTTGTTATGGGGAGGAGGTTCTGTATAATAAAAAAATAAAATAACTCATAAAGTGTTGTTTAAAGGGCAAGATAGGATAATTTAAACCCCTTTTTGGGCCCCTGGTTTAGGGTGTTGCTTAGAACAATGTAACAGTTCATCATTAAATACCTGTTGTCATCCCTGTTACAAAATGAATATTGATTCTAAATAATGGGATACACAAAGGTCACATTTCATGCCCTGGAAGTGACAGGTAGAAGACCTGCCAGGGAAGAGCCAGGGTTGGTGTCTTTGGGGGCAAAGACCTTTAAGGAGGGAGGAGTGTGGCAGTCAGACAGGTTCAATCACAGGTGGCCAGATAGCTCAGTTGGTAGAGCATCTGACTGGAGATTCAGGGGGCCTGTGTTTGAATTCTGGTCTGATCCGATGCATTATTCTTCTAGCCTGTTACATTAGAAACAGCTATGACTTCTCATTTTAGTAATTAGTCAACATTCTGTAGTCTAAATATAAATCCAGGGTCAAGATAGGATGAATTTAGTTTGCTTATAGAAAAAGTTTTGAAAGCACTGTCTTGGAGACACGATAAGGGGATTTATATGCATGTAATATCAGCCAAAACATTTGCTAGAATGAAAAGTGTAACTTGTTGAGACTTATAGTGGCCCATTGCATGGCCTCTTGCTTCATCTAACTTGTTTTTCTACAATTTTTGGCCTTAATATGATAGAAATCATTGTAGCTGAATCTTGTCAATTTTCCAGAAAATCTATTATACCCCTGCTCCGAAGGAGAGGGGGGTATACTGTTTTACCCTTGTGTGTCTGTCTGTCTGCCTGTCTGTCTAACAAATTTTGGTCACAGTTTTCTCAGCAACTACTCAGTGCAGATGCTTGAAATTTTAGCACAATCTTTGTTTAGGCATGCCATATGGTGGGATTCATTTTTGTACGAATCTGATGTAAACTTCCTGTTTATCCGTCCGTCTGTCCGTATACCATACATAACAAATTTTGGTCGTAGTTTTCTCAGCAACTGCTAATCGCAGATGCTTGAAATTTTAGCACAATCTTTGTTTAGGCATGCCATATGCTGGGATTCATTTTTGTACAAATCTGATGTAAACTTCCTGTTCATCCGTCCGTCTGTCCATACCATACATAACAAATTTTGGTCGTAGTTTTCTCAGCAACTACTCATCGCATATGCTTGAAATTTTAACACACTCTTTGTTAAGGCATGCCATATGGTGGGAATCATTTTTGTACAAATCTGATGTAAACTTCCTGTTCATCCGTGCGTCTGTCCATACCATACATAACAAATTTTGGTCGTAGTTTTCTCAGCAACTACTCATCGCATATGCTTGAAATTTTAACACACTCTTTGTTTAGGCATGCCATATGGTGGGAATCATTATTGTACCAATCCTATGTCAACTTCCTGTTTATCCGTGTGTCTAACCGTACCATACATAACAAACTTTGGTCGCAGTTTTCTCAACAACTACTCATCCCAGGTGCTTGAAATTTTTACATACTCTTTGTTTAGGCATGCCATATGTTGGGATTCATCATTTTTGTACAAATCCGATGTCAACTTCCTGTTTATTAGTGTGTCTGTCCGTATCATACATAACAAATTTTGGTCGTAGTTTTCTCAGCAACTACTCATCGCAGATGCTTGAAATTTTAGCACAATCTTTGTTTAGGCATGCCATATGGTGGGATTCATTTTTGTACGAATCTGATGTAAACTTCCTGTTTATCTGTGCATCTGTCCGTACCATACATAACAAATTTTGGTCGCAGTTTTCTCAGCAACTACTCATTGCAGATGCTTGACATTTTAGCACAATCTTGTTCAGGCATGCCATATAATGGGATTCATTTTGGTACAAATCCAATGTCAACTTCCTGTTCATCCCTGCATCTGTCTGTACCATACATAACAAATTTTGGTCGCAGTTTTCTCAGCAACTACTTATCGCAGGTGCTTGAAATCTTAACACAATGTTTGTTTAGGCATGCCATATGTTGGGATTCATTTTTTACTAATCCAATGTCAATTTCCTGATTATCACTGTGTTTGTCCATAACTGAACTTGTGTATTCACATCAGAGCGGAGGTATTATTAGTGAGCATTGGCTCACAGACTTCTTGTTAAATATCTAATTAATCTAATATTAAAATTCATAATTTTGAAATCATTCAACACTTGTTTGAATAGGTTCTCTTTCATGGAGAAAGACAAATTCTGGATCCTGGTTTATGCAGGCTGTGGTGTGGATCTTTAAGTATGAAGCTCATCTCAAAGACCTAGTTGAAATGCTGGGAAAGGCAAGCATAGCTTTGATAAACATCGATCAACACTTTCTTACAAATCATCAGACTTAGGCATTGCAGTCTGAGGAAAGACTGTGATCTAAAGTGGTCATTTGAATATTAGTAATCTATTGTTAAATTAGCTTCATACTGAAAATATAAGCTGTTATAATATCTTCTGTTGCATTTTAATGCATTCTATTATTGTAGGTAAACTACTTAGTCAGTAAAGGCAAGGCTTCAGATGGAGGGTATCACTATGTTACAGTGTCCAACTACCACTCATCACTCAGGAAAAAATTATACTTCTTCCCAGGAATTTATGGAGATAAAAGAGTGCATCCCCACTGCTTAAATTAGTTCCTGATACATTGTGTACCCCTCAAGCAAGAAATGAGCTCAATACTTAGGAACAGTGAATTTAACTTTAAAAATCTGAATTAAGATTAAATTGTACTCCAAAGTTAAGAATTTCAAATTCCTTTCTGCTGATCATAATCTAGAATGTTGGAATCCACATTATACATTGTTCGAAAATGAATGACATATTTTTAAAAAAATTTTGTATAACATGATATGAAAATGAGTTCTTCTATCAGATTTTATTTGTGTAAGAAATTAAATGTTTTATTGTATAAATATCTATGTAAATGTGCTTTCTAATGATTTTCTTTCTAATAACTAACTACAAAGAGATAAGGCAGGTCCCTTCAAACATTTTGGGGCATGTCTATCAGTGGCATAACTCGGCATATGCCTGGTACAAGTATATAAGTTTCATGCACAAAATAGTAGGGTTTGATTACTTGTGTTCAATAACTCAAAATACAAAGATAACATGCAAAGTAATACTTGAAGATAATATTCAAGTACGGTAGTTTTAAAGGTAATTTTTGTCGGCATGCAAAGTTTTCAAAAGAAAAAAAGAATTAATTGGTACTTGTGGTCAGATACACATATGTTGTAGATGGTGCTCAAAAAAAATGTCACTTGCCTGCTGTCTTTGAAAGCAACAGGTTCAAATCAAGGCCTGTTAACATGCTATATTTCTTTCAATGTTTATGCATATATTATGTATTATATATTTCTTGTTTCATAAATACATGTTTATCTTTTTGATAGTTCTCACATTTTACTATATGTATATGGTTTAAATATCCAAATCACATTAGGGGATGACCATTTGATTCTGAAATGGGGGGGGGGGGGGCTGGTAGATTTTGTAAAATAATCTGGCCTTGAAAATGTTGAAAATAAATAGAGAATAATTCATGGCAAAATTTGTATCACACCCCATATCAACCCGAGACTCCAATATCAGCCCGAGGGCCGAAGGCCAGAGGGCTGATACTGGTCGAGGGTTGATATAGGGTGTGATACAGATTTTGTCTTGTATTGTTGTTTTTATTATATATTTGAAAATAGTGTCCTAAAAATCATATATAAACTTGTAAATTAATTACTGAATTTTTAATAATTGAATGTGTTCTGTTTTTGTTGAATTTCCGTTTCTCAATCTTTTGTAAAGGCAAATAAATGCATTCAGCGATACGAAATGAAATTATTATAAATCAAACAAATAATTATTTTGAATAACATAATATGTCTGATGAAATAAAATTACAATTTGAATAAACTTTGGAAAGAAATAGGAAAAGATCCAAGGTACTCCAAATGAAAAATACAGAGATATTCCGGAAAGGTGTAATAAAAGGTGTAATAAAGGGTGAAATAAAGGGTGCTGATACAGGGTGTGTAATACAGGGTGCGTGCCTGTGTTCATATTAGGGATGCAAAAATCCTGTATTATATAAAATATATAATAAATAATCTTACCTCAACTGGCAAAAAAAAAAAAAAAAAAATAATCTGACCTTGACTGGCAATAGCCCCTACCCCCAGGAAATAGAGTTTTGGTGTTTGGAACCCCCACACCCCTCTTTGACTTGTCAAACTTTTTTCCTGAGAAGAAGAAAATAAATAATCTGTCCTTGATTATCTTGAAAATAAATAATCTGTCTTGACTGGTATGAAAATAAATAATCTGACCTGAAAAATTTTGCCCCCCCCCTTTCAGAATCAAATACATGTAGTCGTCCCCTTATATTGGTCAGTTATTTATGTCACTGTGTGAAAATTTTAAAATGTCTAATTTTGCATGTAACAAATACAGATAAATACATGCAAATGTTTTCACTCAGAATGAATGAAAGAGTATGTAGTTTCACGTACCACCCACTTAAAAAAGGGGTGTTGCTATAAAACGTGGGACGGAAAGGAAACAGAAAATCTTACATCAAGTTATACACTGTATACTTTGTACAGATATAAATCAGACAGGAACCAGTATTTCTTACGAAAGCCTATTAGGATCAATCTATGGGTGAACAAAATTAAAAGACATAAAAACACCTTTTCAAAAGGCGTATTAACGCCAAAAAGGCGTACGTGTAATAAAGCGAGGTAAAAAGGCGTTATAACGCGAAAAAAGACGTTATATAACGCCTTTTAAAAAGACGTAACACGCCTTTTAAAAAGGCATAATAACGCTTTTCTCAAAGGCGTCTTAACGCCAATAAAACAGCTGTAAAAGGCGTAATAACGCGAAAAAAGGCGTTATTACTCCTTTCGAAAAGCTGTTTCGTTTTCCGTTCGGCCTCTTAATAACACCCATAAAAATTGGGAACGAATTAGAATCAAACAGATACAATCTTTGTATGCAGGCCTATAGAACGCGGAAGGGGGGGGGGGCACTTTTTGTGAGCGTAGTATTTTGCTATAGTAAATTTTCCTTTAGATGCTGGTTGCTCCTCTCCCCACCCCCTTTCCCACTCTTTGTTTGCTGTAAGGTGGAGCACTGGAAAATTCGAGGATTTGGAGAGTTAAATAGTTTTTTTTTTTTTTTTTTTTTTTTTTTTTGGTTGTCAGATTTTTGGGTGAAGTCCCCTCCCTCCCCCCCCCCCCCAAAAAAAAAAAAAACTTTTGAAACCGTTGCTACGGGCCTGGTATGAACTATGGTAATGTTGATTTTTATTATGTCAAACAGGCCCAGGGTGAATTTTAAAGATTTTTATGTATTTATTCAATGTTTTCTTTCCAAATGCCATATTAGCAAGGGCACCTATAGATGCACGAGTGAAATACATTCCATATCCAACTACAAAACATTGAATTTTCTGTTTGTTACATTTTCTTTGATTTTCCCTTTGCTTCTGAGATTGAAAACATTGTAACATGGATTTTAGCAACGTATTTGGGAAGAAATTTGCAGTTTTAGTCTCTACCACGATGGTTTAGTTACTATCTTATTACAGGTCAGATTTTTTTTTAATTTACTTTGATATCCTTTCACACTGTGATAGCATATCATTTTAGCACCGTGATTCTTTTTCTTTCCATGACATCATAGTTCTAAATTGAATTTCAGAGTTTATCACAATTATATATCCCCCGTTCAATTGGCTTTTGGAGTTTTTTTCCCCTTTTAATTTCCTTCCTTCTATCTTTATTTATTTATTTTATTATTATTTTTTTTTTAAGTTGGTTTGGACCCCCTCCATTCCTCTAGGAAAAAATCCTTGATCCGCCCACGCAGAGATTCCCCCTTTAAGGCTTCTATGATATTATTTAAATGCTATGCTTAAAATGTCCCCTTTTTGAATAATTTTTGCTTTGTTTGTTTTTATGCTTCTTTTTAAAACAAAATCGAAATATTTCTCGTACAATTTACCATAACTTATAGCGCATGTGCACTGAATGCCAAATATTGTACACATCCGGCATGTGAATGTCCAATGCTGTGGTCAGTGTGGAAACTTTATTGCTAAAAGTACAGGATTCCAGTAGATTGCAACAAGGACACAATTCACAGAACACCGACAGTAATCCACACAGCAGTATGGAGACAGTGCCATCTGATTTTATCGACGGCGATTTCAGTGAAGAAGAAGAAGCTGATGAAGCGCAGCCTTGGGGACGACTTATGCCACTTGGACCTGGTTTTGTTACAGTCGGTATGTGATTGTACAATCTGCTTATCATCACAATTTATATAAGTTTAAGCTGCTGTACTAAAATTATAAATGCTTTAACGAAAAATACATCTAACCGTAATGATAATAATAGATTTCTAAACGATTTCGAGGAAATTCGATCTGCAAAGCCCAAATAACGTCTTCTTCTCCTTCTACTTCTTTTAAAGTGCAGGACTTTGTAGGCATCATTGCACTTGTAACGGGATGATGTGTATATCTGAAGAAAATATGAATGATAGGAATAATTATTCAAGATTGCAGTGTGATCATAATTCAATCTTGCCAGAGCATTGATTCACCTGAAGCTATAATGACATACCATTTTAACGGTAACGGGATGTTTCACACCTATGCATGGTTCGCCCCACGATGTTTCGCGCCAATTCTATTTCGTGCTGAGATGGTTCGCCCCCCGATGTTTCACTCCAAGTACATAAATGTGCTACTGAGTTTAGTTCATTTAACAAAATTTTAGATTTTAAATATATGTAAATATAGATATTTTTGGAACATTTCTTTTTTAAATTTAAGAAGATTATATTTGAAGCACAGACGTAAATTATTTATGTCTGTGTTTGAAGTATACATACATAGCATAATTATGAATTATAACACCGTGCTAATTACGTATAAGTAGATAATTATAATACCGCCATCTAATTAAGTAATTATTGCTGGCTTGGACAACCCACACATCAACTTAAATTCTCACCTTTTGATCTCCAACTTATTACAATTAAATCCTCATTGAAACACTGTCGAGTTGTTGAACAGACCCGCTGAGCAAACGGGCACCGTACGATCCGTTAACTATAGTTGTGCATGTTATTAAGTCATGAATTTGAGCACACAAAATATTTATATCATATTTGATAAATAATTTAAAACGGATGAAAATGTGATGAAATATTTAAAATAAAACGTGAGATGTTTCGCGCCCAAATCGGCGCGAATCATCCTGGCGCGAACCATCTCAGTGCGAAACAGAATCGGCGCGAAACATCCCGGATTCCATTTTAACTGTGCAACTCCTTTTTACAAATATGTTCATTTTATTTGGGATCTTTGGTCTTTGCTATATTTGATCTAAAACAATAAATGTTACAGTATGTCCAATCTGACTACTTTAATATTGATGCAGGGCACTTGACTGTTATTGCTTATACTTTTAGCATTGAAGAATGATGGATATTCCTTTGGTCGAGGAGAGAATTGTGATGTGTCTTTCAGTGTTCAGATGGCAAAAAGCAAGCAGTGCTTTCAAGCTTATAGCAAGGTTCACTTTAAGTTGACTAAGGTACATAACCTTTAAAGAATTGAGTTTCAGATTATGTGTAACTGTCTGAGATGCTTCATTATCATTTTAATTTCCTTCAGCAACAGACCAGTGCTGGAGTTTTTGTTTTCTTAGAGGACACAAGTAGCAATGGAACATTTGTCAATGGTGAAAAAGTTGGTAAGTTGTTAGACAAGACTAAGATAAGGGTGTTGCTATAACAACAAATTCTTACATATTAGATCAAAATAAAAGTGAGATATTGCCATCGAAAATTAAAAAACCATCATCCCTTTATGACATGTCTTATGCAGTTTTCTTGATTTCATTGGTACTTTCATTGGTACTTCTGTAATTTTAGGGAAGGGAAACAAGCAAGTTTTGACTAATAATGATGAAATTGCATTGGCTTTAAAGAACAACAAAGGTAATAATAAGTCAAGAAATTTTGGCAGGAAATAATATGAAAGTTTAACTTTAAAATTTTACATGTCTATCAAATTATATAAAATACGATGTACTGGCGTAAGAAGATTTTTTTTTCTTACTGCTATAAACCTAGTTATTTAAACAGAGTATTCTTTGTCTCTCTTTCCTGGATAAGTTATATGTGGAAATAAAGAAATAAAATATTGCACTTATATGTTTCATTTCAGCATACATGTATCTAGATCTAAACCAGGATGAGGATAAGTCGTTACCACCGGTGATCAGAGAAAAATACACACTGGGCAGGACTCTTGGAAAGTAATAAAACTTAAATCTCATTACATATGTACTTCTGATTGTATGTCAAAGAAGTTAGAA